AGATTACTGAGCATGCCTGTGGTCTTAGAAGATTGTGCTACATTCTCCCTCATCCCATGTGGGTCATCCATGCTGGTCCTCATCTACCTCCCAAAACCTCAGGTGTCCTCCTGGTGTAGGATAGTTCATGTGCTGTTTCTTCCTCTTGGGGGTTGATAAATCCTACTGACTCTGCCCCAGAAAGCTACTTTCAGATCACAGCATATACATCAAWAACCCTTAGACTTCCCCATGACCACCCTCCCCCATCTAGATCAACTCCCACCCATGATATGTTCCCACAGCAGTGTATCTTTATCCTCCATGGCACTTCCTGTAGATGAAATTACACTCAATGTGTAACTATTTGACTCGTTTATGCCTCTCCCACTGGCTGTTCTCTAATGATAGGGTTTATGTTTCTTCTTCACCATCCAATCTCTAGTTCTTGATGTATATGAAGATGTATATGAATTTTTTAAAATTGAGATATAATTCACATACCAAAAAATTCTCTCTAAATTTTAGAGTATATGATCCAGTGTATCTTAGCATATTCACAAAGCTRTACAACCATCACCATTATCTAACTACACAACATTTATTGCCACAAGAAGAAATCCCATAACCATTAGTAGTCATTCCCCATTTCCCCTCCTGTAGTTTCTCACAACCACTAATCTATTTTCTGTCTCTATGGATTTGCCTTTTCTGGGCATTTTATAAATGCAATTGTATGTGGCTTTCTGTATCTGGCTTCTTTCACTTAGCATAATTTTCAAGGTTCACCTATGTTGTAGCTTGTATCCATACTTCATTCCTTTTTATAGTTGGATAACATCATATTGTATGGGTATTCCACATTTCATTTCTCCATCAGTTAATGGATAATTGGATTGTTTGTGCTTTTGACTATTATGAATAATATGGCTCTGAACACTGTGTAAGAGCTTTTGTGTTGACCTAAGTTCTCAGTTCTCTTGGGTATATATCTAGGAGRGGAATTACTGGGTTATAATGGTAAGTCTATGTTTAACTATACAAATAGGATATGCCAAGTGGTTTTTCAAATCGGCTATGTAAGTTTTTTGACATTCCTCATGCAAAGTTTATAGTACGTATTTTTAAGGCTAATAGCTTCTCACAGAATGAATTCAATCAGGTACTATTATTTTCAGCACTTAAAAAAGCAGAATGAAGCTCAGGAGATAAGTGACTTGGGCAAAATCCACAATTTATCAGTTGCAGAGCCAAGATTTAGATCCCACCTGACTCTTTTTTTTTTTTTTTTTTAAGAGTGAGGGAGGGGAGAGAGAGAGAGAATTTTTTTTTTATTATGTATTGTTTTTTTAGTTTTTGGCAGACACAACATCTTTGTTTGTATGTGGTGCTGAGGATTGAACCCGGGCCGCACGCATGCCAGGCGAGCACGCTACAGCTAGAGCCACATCCCCAGCCCCCCCACCTGACTCTTGAGCCAGTGCTCTTGTCCAGTAAGCTGTGAAGTAGTCTAGCCAGGAGCCCACATGAGATCCAATGGGATAACACTGCTTTACTTAAGCTATGGCCAGTATCAGGAAAACAGTCTAGGAAGGGGGTTTTATTTTTGGAGCTAGAGGAAGAAAGAGGTTATAAATCCTATTAATTTGGGTACAGAAGTATATCTTGGTTCTCTCCCTTTGCTTTCCTGTTTTTTAAAATCCTTGGCTTCACAGAAGTCATTCCAAGGTGGCCCTAGCCTACCTTTTCAGCTTAATTTCCCACTACTCCCTTTTCATGTATTCAACAAATGTTTACCCTGGGTGTTTTACATGCCAGGTCCCGTGATAGGCAGCAGGCATACAAATTACCTATAATGTGGTCATTCCTGCCTCCGAGAAATTGATACCTCATGGGATGGGAAAAGGGAGGAAGGAACAGAACTTCCTTGTAGATGTCTGTGTGGTCTTCAATGGAGGTCAGCACAGTGTTTGGGGGGATCATTTGGGCAAGGCCCCTAATGCAGCGTAGGAGGTCACACAGCTTCCAGACAGATATGAAACTTGAGCTGAATTGTGAAGGATGAGTATATTAGAAATGAAAAGGGGAATCTGTCATTCCATCAAGAAGGAGTAGCAGGTGCAAAGGTAGGGAGGTGTCAAACCAGCTGGATGGACCTTTGGTTGCATATGTGCTCACTGAGAGCTTATTAGGTACCAGGAGCTGTGGATACCCAGGCAGTGAACTCAACAGACAGGGCCCTTGCCCACAGGGAGCTGGTACTTCTAGGGGTAAAACTGTGGAATGCAGGCTGGGATGAGCAAGGGCAAGCCTCTCCGTCATGGGGGGGGTGGTCTGGGTCACCAGAATCTCATGGGGGGAGGTGTCCACAAAACCCGGAGATTTTGAATGTACCAGTATTTTCATAGAGTGGATTAACAATATTTCATTGTTTTTTCCAGGGCATCCATGACCCTCTAGGGTTAGAACATTTATTCTAGGTCATCTTGTGCAGAGCTATGAAATTTAACCTTGGCCTGAAGTTCTGGTAGCCAGTTTATTTATTTATTTATTTTTATTTATTTTTTGGTGGCACTGAGGACTAAACCCAGGGCCTCACACATGGTAGACAAATGCTTTACCACTGACCTACACTGCATGCTCCCGTGGTGCATTTTAAGAAGTGGAATCATCAAAGCCTGACTAGGGCTTTTGCCAGAGAGAACATCCCGTGCCTTTTCTACTGCTAAGCTTTTGCTTCTGTCATTTCCCCGCCTAGAGGATTGGAAAGAGCAGTGCTTAGAGCCTGACAGATCTGACCATGCGTCCTGCCTCCAACTACCACCTGGCAGCCTCCAGTATTCTCCCTGAGTGAAGTTATGATGTCTGAATGTGTATTCTTCTTCTTCTTCTTTTCCTGTTGAAAGGCTCCAGCATATGGTCACCACTTGGCAATGCTCTTCTCTTGGCTTGGTGGCTCAGCTGCTCAGGGGTCCTGTCTTGTCTGAGGCTTTTCTTGGAACTTTCTGTGTAATTGCTCATCCTGTCAAAGAGCTTTACAAGCATCACTAAGTCTTCTGAAATAATAACAACAGCGGCAGCAACAATTAACATTTATTATTCTTACTATGCTAAGTGCTATACCCAGCTTTTTGCCCGCATCAAAATCCTGAATCCCTTCTGGCAGATAGGTAAATTCTATTGTCATCTGAATTTTCAGAGGAGATAACTAAAAGCTCAGAGAGGTTAAGTAAGTTGCCCAAGATACCCCAGGCTAGTCAGTTTCAAAGTCAAGATTCCGACCTGGACAGAAGGAAATCCAAAGAAACCTGTGTCATTCTGCCTCTTAGAAAACTCTGCTTCCAACTGCACAGTTCAAAACCCCACCCAAGCCTGCTTAATATCCCAGTGGGTCGGCTCCAGCAGAGTCGTCATTCTTTGTTTTGACCAAAGATGCAGAAGGCGTGCCAGATGTTAGCCCGGGAGGACAAGGGAGGAGGTGGGGGTCGAGGGTGTCAATTCAGGAGCTGGGGTGTGTGCGGGGAGCTTATCTGGGGACCGACAGGCGAGTCACGTGCATGTGAAACTCGACCTAGGGGGAGGGGAAAGGAAGGGAGCTCCCGCCCCTACCTCGGGGCGCAGCTCCGGACGCGTGTAAACACAACTATCAATTCGGTAGATCACTTCGTTCCTACCCTGCTTCGTGGATCCGTGGCGCCCGGCAGGTTCCAAGCTCCGTGACTTCTCCCGAGAGAGCGGAGGAGTCGAGACCACTGGGCTGTCGGGCTGCAATTTCAAGGCCCCCGGGTCCAAAGAGCAGAGAAGACCTCAGCGTGCGCGCAGATCAGGGCTGGGCCCGCCGGTCCCAGGACACCCGGAGTGTGGACGTGCTGCCAAGGGTCTGAGCTCCAGGGGGCGTTCGCAGCTGCAGAAGGCGCGTTTGCCCGCGACCCGAGGTGAGCCGCGTGTGAGAATCAGTGTCTTCAGCTGCAAGTCCGCTGAGAGCCACCCGGGGCCGGTTCCGATAGACTCCCTGACTTCTCAAGAAAAGCCCGTTACCTGAGCTCTTGAGCCCTGCGGCCCATTACCCCCTCTCCAAGCGCGCCCCCCCCTCCTCTTTACCCTGGCCCAGTGGACTCTGGTGTTCCTCTCGGCCCCCCTTGCTGCTCTGTTTGGCGCGACACTTGTCAGGAGAGACCTGCGGGAGCCCCTGAATCGAAAGCCCCCATTTCACAGAAAAGGGTACTGTGGCTCTCCCGCCCCCCGGGAGAAGTGACTCGTGCTTCCCACCCCTGGCTCTTGGGCTTTCTATTTTGCCCTCCCCAGTTCCTCACCTCTCCGCCTTCCTCGGTCTTACCCCATGCGTCTTGTCGCTCCCGCCCCCGCGCTGCCGGCCCCAGGTCTCCTCCCGCGATGGCTGGAGCGGCCCCGGCCGGGGCGAGTTCCGATTCCTTTCTCCCACCTCTGGTAAACACGTTCGCCCGCCCGCCAACCCATCCGCTGCCACTGCCCTTATAMAGTCAGCCACCACCGGACTTCCTGCCTAAGCCTGAGCCCCCTTCCCTGGCTGGGGGGAGCTGGCGGGCTCCTAGGCGCGCGACTTAAATCGGGTCGCCTTGGGAGTGAGTGAGGGGCGCGTGGGGACGCCACATTGCCAGCCCTGGGTCTCCCTCCACGTGGCAGCTGTTGGATTGGCCCATGAGACTGTAGGGACACGGATCGCCTGGTGCAGCAAGCAGAGGACTTATTCTCGCCTGGCGTCAGAGGAGAGGAGTGGACTGAGAGGGGCAACAGGAAAGAGGGGTCTTTGGTTAGCCTCAGACATCCCTTTCCTCCTCCTGCCTGCTTCTGGGGGGGTCTTTCCTGGGGCAAGAGGCCAAAGAGGTCAGACATGGGCTAGGGGAGGCTTCAGGGCGCGCTTTGTACCTTACTGAATTTTGGAGACTTGGGGAAGTTCTGGTTTGGCCTCCAAGAGCTGGCTCTGCGCGCCATGGCCTGGGTGGGAGAGCCCGGCAGCACGCCAAGAAGCTTCTGTGCGCAGACAGGACCTTCCTTGTTTTTGATAGTGGCCCGGCGGGAACCCAGCGCCGCGTGCGTTCCTGGCACTGCCAGAGCGCGCCGAGCCAGCTTGGTGGAACTGGCTAGGAAGCTCTGGGTTCTATGGGCCTTCCATGAAGGTTCCATCGCGGGGTGGCACAAGGGATCTCAGGAGCTACCATGATGCAGTACCCTTCCCAGGGGCCGTTGGGAGGTCCTTCGCTCAGCGTTCTCTTTCTCTGCAATCTCTCGGCCAGAATGGCCCCCACGTTGCAACAGGCGTACCGCAGGCGCTGGTGGATGGCCTGCACCGCTGTGCTGGAGAACCTCTTCTTCTCTGCGGTGCTCCTGGGCTGGGCCTCCTTGCTGATCATACTCAAGAACGAGGGCTTCTATTCCAGCTTATGCCCAGGTATGCCGGGGTCGTCTGGGGCAGGGACCGCAGAGGGAGGAGGTGGAAGCTGAAAAAGACTGTAGGTAATGTAGAGAGAGAACAGGACTGCTCAAAAGGGGAGCCCTAGGCTGGGGATTGGATAGCCTCACTTCTTGACCTCTTAAAACTTCATCAGGAAATGGGTGACATTCTACATGCTCCACTTGGAATATATCAACCAACTGAATGCTGGGTGTCTGGCTGTGCATCCAGATCCTGGGATTCTTAGGCAGAGTCCTAAGCTTCTGACAGCCTCCAGTCTAAAAGAGGATGTAGTCTCTCTGAAATGTCTCACCTAAAAGGTGAGGATTTCTTTGTGTGTGTTGAGCCAAGGTGCTGGGGATGGAGCTCAGAGCCCGGAGCTCAATACCAATAAGCTACATCTCCAGTCTTTTCACTTTTTTTTTTTTTTTTTTTTAATATGTGTGTGTGGTAGTGGGGATTGAACCCAGGATGGGGAATGGGGGCCTACCACTGAACTACACTTCCAGCCCTTTAAAAAAAATAATAAAATTTTGAGACAGGGTCTCACTAAATTGCTAGGCTGCCTTACACCTTGCAATACTAGCCTTTCCTGTAGCTGGGAGTTACAGACATGTGCCACTGAGCTGTGCTCCCAAGGGATTTCTTGAGGTCTGCTGTTGTAAAGCTAAAAAAAGAGAAAGGAATCCCTTAGGTGGCAAATGCTTGTAATTCCAGCCAACTGGGAGGCTGAGGCAGGAGGATCACAAGTTCAAGGCCTGCGTCTGCAGTTTATCAGGGCCTATCACAAAAAAGGCCTGAGGATACAGTTTAGTAGTAGAGCATCCCCAGGAATGGGGACAAGGGGGGTCAGGAGAAAGCCACACAGAGTGAAATATGAATGTGAAGGGCCTGCATTCTTCTCTTTGCAGGACCTTGGAGTCCCCAGGTTTTCAAATCTTCCATTTGCATGAAGTCCATAGTCCTGTTTCCTCTACAATGGGCATTGTGGAGGGTCTCTGTTTTCCTCCAATCATCTTGACCTTGTAGGAATGGCCCTGAATGCTGAAGTGAGAATTCTAAATGCCCCAGGATTAGTAGCTGTAGCCCTGGGCTGTCTGCAGCTGTCCAGGGGAAAGGAGTTTCCCTTCTGATGTCAGGGACTTGATGGGTTTCTCACTTCTCTGGGAGGAAAGTGCTTAGCTGACAAGCTCAGCTAAGGAGCCAGGTGGAAGTGGGGTTTGATTCTTTTCCTCCCTCCTTACCCCTTCCTCAGCCTCCCTGTTCTAGAGTAAACTTGGAAGGAAGGCCAATTTGGATTTGATTCTCAGCTTCCACCATGTGTACCAGCTGAGTGACATCAGTGAGTTCCTTAGACCTTGAGCTTGGGTTACTTGGTCTGCAGAATGGAAACAATAATATCTTTCCCAATAATGGTATCTATCTCATTGTTGAGAGATTCATCAATGCTTGGTAAATGTTTCTGGCTTCTCCTGTCTCCTCAACTCAACATGTCTCACAGAGCATGGGTGGAGGTCAGGAGGTCTTGATCTCTGCTCTGAGCAGCAGCTGCCCCACCCTGGGGGCTGTCTCATCTCTGCCAGGGTTATCTGTAAGGAGCAGGCACATGCCTAGGCCTCCTGGCCTCAGTTCTGTGGGCTGGAGGCTGTAGAGCTGAGTTGGCCTAGGAAGGCAGGTGGGTTGTTGAAGAGGAGGCCTAAGAGGAAGTGATAGGCATTTTGGAGTGGTCAAGAGGATCAAATCGTGGGTCACTAGGGGACTCATATGACACCCAAGTCCCCTCTTGAGTTTTCCCTGGAGACTGGAGAAGACCTGCCCTTGGTTACCCAATGGCTCCGAGGCCCACCACTGTTCCTGCCTTTTCCACCTGGAGCTGGTGGCGTTTTCTAAATCAGCTTCCCTGAAGATTAATTTATATCACACATTTTGATGAGGCTTGACAAGTTTGTACCCCAGTAACCATCGCCACAGCCAACATTTAAAACATTTCTGGGGCTGGGGATGTAGCTCAGAGTGCTTGTGCTTGCCAGTGTGCTCAAGGCCCTGGGTTTCATCTTGAAAAAGAAAGAAAGAAAAGCTATTGCTACCACCTCAAAACCTCTTGCTTCCCTTTTAAGGGTCCATCTGTCCACCTGTGTCTTTAAAAAAATATGTAAAACAACTTTAGCAAGACAAGATTTACATATCTTACAAATCACTCAGAGTTGTACAGTCATCATCTCCATCAATTTTAGAACATTTTCTTTCCTCCCAAATGTAACCCTCTACCCATTTAGTAGCACCCACTCTACTCTCCCCACTCTTCCTTCTATCCCAAGCACTATGCAGCTGCTCCTCTACTCTTTATTTTCTGTTCTTTCCTTCCTTAATCCATCCATTCTTTCCTCCCTTTCTCTTCTTTCTTTCCCAGGATTGAACCCAGGGGCCTTACCACTGAGCCATCTCCCAGCCTTTTTATTTTTTATTTAGAGACAGGGTCTCACCAAGTTGCTTAGGATTTCACTAAGTTGCTCAGGCTGGCTTTGAACCCCCGATCCTTCTGCCTCAGCCTCCTGAGCTGCTGGGATTATAGGCATACGCTCGCATGGCTAACTTTAACATTTTGAAGAGCCTTCTGACTATTAAGTGGCTATACCATTTTACATTCCCACCAGCAGTGTATGAGGGTTCCAGTTTCTTCACACACTCGACAATATTTGTGATTGTTCATTTTTTTATTATAGATATTGTTTTTTAAAAAATATTTATTTTTTTAGTTGTAGTCGGACACAATACCTTTATTTCATTTATTTATTTTTATGTGGTGCTGAGGATCGAACCCAGGGCCTTGCATGTGCCAGGCGAGTGCTCTACCGCTAAGTCACAACCCCAGCCCCTTATTATAGATATTCTAATAGCTATAAAGTAGTATAATTTTTTGGTTTTGATTTGCATTTTCCTAATGGCTAATGATGTTGAGCATCTTTTCATGTCCTTATTGGCTATTGGTATATCTTTGGAGAAATGTCTATTAAAAGCCTTTGCCCATTTTTAAATTGAATTATCTTTTTATTATTGCTAATTAATAATTAGTTATTTTTAGTGTTGGGGATGGAACCCAGGGCCCTGCACATGCTAATCATGGAATTCAGGGCCTTGCACATGCATATCATATGCGTTACCCCTGAGTTCCATCATGAGCCCTTGTAAGAGCTCTTTATATTCTAGATAAAAGTCCTTTTTCAGATATATGATTTGCAAAAGTTTTTTTCCACTATGGATTCTTTTTATCTTCTTGAAGGTATCTTTTAGTGCATGATAATTTTGAATTTGACAAAGTCCAATTATCTACTTTTTCCTTTTTTTATTCTGTGTCATGAATATGAAAGCATTGCTTAATCTAAGGTCACAAAGATTTACCTCTGTGTTTGGTTTTATAGTTTCAGCTCTTACACTTAGATTTTTGATCCATTTAGAGTTAATTTTTGCATATGGCAGGAGGTATCCACCTGGTATTTTGAGTTGCTCAAAAGTGGGTGTGTATCTAATTTGGCTGTTTGGGATCACTAGAGGTGACCAAAGTGAACCCTTCTTTTTCTCAGAAACTTTTTGTCCCTTCTTGCAAAGCAGAGTACAACATGCCTCTTTCCCCCACTTCTCTCCCATTCCAGGGAGTCTGGCCTAAACTCCCTCGGCTGTCGGGCTGCTCAGAGATGCTGTTCCTTGTTCTGTCTCAGTCATGTTACAGGTCAAAAGTGTCAACTTTCTGCTGCTTAGAGCTTCATACACCGTGGGTCTCTGCCTCCTTCTACAGTGTCCCAGGAATCTAGTATCAGACCAGGAAACTGTCCCCACAGAGGCAGGAACGGTCTCTTCCAACTCAACTTTGTGCTGGTTGCCTGATTTGAGCCAGTTACTCCATGTGTTAAAGAGGACCAATAATCCCCACCTGGTGGGGCTTCTATGAAAATGATTGAGAGCAAGCAGCCAAAATTTAGGCTTCCGGTAAGGGTTGTGAATATGTTCTAGACCCACCTTCATTCCTCATTTGCTGTGTGCCTTAGGCAAGTCATTTATTCTTCCTGGATCTCATTTCTTTCCAAGTCTGTTAATGAGGGTACAGTTGTCACCTTCCCACCACAGAACAATGATGTGAGAATTAAAGGATGTTGTTTAATACATACGTAAAGGAGCTCATTATTGATGATTTCATTTGTGTAGGTTTTGGAGTTCAAAGGGACGTCACAGCTAGTGCGGGCTCTGTTACCCAGAATATAGGCAGTGGCAGCTCCGTTCATCACGCATCCTTATATATCCAGCATAAGTGCCAAAGTGATAAAACAATCAGCAAGTACTTGGAAGCCTGAGGCAAGAGGATTGCAAGTTCAAGCAAGACTCTGTCTTAAAAAGTAAAAAAACTTAGCAAGACCCTGTCTTAAAAAGTAAAAAGGACTGAGAATGTAGCTTAGTGGTAAAGCACCCCTGGGTTCAGTCCCTAGTACCAAAAAAAAAAAAAAAAAAAAAAAAAAACCAGCTATCACTAAAATTCATTAAGTCTTTACTGTTTGTGAGTTAGATTTTTAGTCTTCACCATAAAGCTGTGATACAAGTATTATAACCTCATTTTTTATAAAAGAGAAACCTGAAGTTCAGAGATGCTAAGTAACTTGCCTAAGGTCACCTAGCTATATTTTTTTTGGGGGGGGGTAGTACTAGGGATTGAACTCAGGGGCACTCAACCACTGAGCCACATCCCCAGCCCTATTTTGTATTTTATTTAGAGACAGGGTCTCACTGAGTTGCTTAGTGCCTCGCTGTTGCTAAGGCTGGCTTTGAAATTGCAATCCTCCTGTCTCTGCCTCCCGAGCCACTGGGATTACAAGCATGCATCAAGGCACACAGCTCACCTAGCTATTTTATAAAGAGCAGAGTTAGGATTCAACTTCAGTTTTGACCCCAGAACCTTTCTGCTGGGCTTCATAGGAATAGCGTAGATATCCCTGATCTTATGTTTCTCCTGGGAGAGACCAGCCATAGACACGACCGCTAGAGCTCTGACCTAAGATGTTTTGGTGAATGTTACTGTGCCAAGTGCCAAAAGTGAAGCATCAGGAGGTTAGGAAGGGAACATGACGAGTGGAACAAAGAAGATGAGATCATTTTGTGAGTGTGTTTGTGCCTATGTGGCAGTCTTCAGAGCCAGCCTCTCGGGTCCTTGAGACCACTGTCCCCGTTTCACAGATGGGATAATGAGAAAGTGCCAGCAGCATAGCTAGTAAAACCAGAATTCAACAGGTGAAAGCTTAGCCATAATCCCATTTTCCAGTGTTTCTCAGACCTGATCATTTTCAGTCCACCTTCAAGATTTTACCATACCTGGGTGCCACAAGTACTAGTATTTCAAGTGCAAATTTGCTTGAAATCTCAAGTTTGATGTTGTTATACATATTATGCATATTCATCTAATAACATATGTAGCATATAAAACATGTTATATGTAAAATATAATGTATAATATAAAATATATCATTATATCCTATATTATAAGATACTATATAGCAGTATATTATATAATAATATAACATACCATTACATAATGGTATAGTCATATATATTTAATTAGTATATATTATATGAAATAATATATATTATGTGTCTTTATATATATACATTGTGTTCACATGTGTATGTGTGTGTTTTACTAGGGATTGAACCCAGGGGCATTTTACCACTGAGCCTCACCCCCAGCCCTTTTAAATTTGTATTTTGAGACTGGGTCTCACTAAGTAGCTCAGACTGTTCTCGAGTTTTTGATTCTCCTGCCTTAGCCTCCTGAGACACTGGGATTTCAGGTGTGTACCACTGCACCTGACCATATATATATATTTTTAATACATTCACATATACATACATATGCCTGTTTCCATTATACATTTAAATAACCAATAACTGTGAAACCTCTGAAATCATTCCATGTACCACACAAACCCATTTGAGTGCCACCTGTACTGCACACCACGCACTGGGAAACCCTGTTTCCCTGACTTCTGAGCTCAACTCTTATCACTGACTCACTGAATACATTCTCCCTGTTCCATCCCATGCCTCACTTTACCTCTCTATGAAAGTCAGGAAGTTGATGCAAAGACTTCTGTTGTAACTGCCTTAGACACAGGTCGAAGAGTTCTTTGCATCTTGGTTGAGAAGCCTTACTTTGACCAACCACTCAGTGATCAGGCCTCAGGAACTACTAGTTCATATCAGTCAAACTCACAAGAGACTGATGATAAACCAGAGGAAGTGATGTATTAATTGACCTTGAGTCGTTAGCAGTCCACTGTGGTGGATTCTCTATCACTGGAGAAGCACATGTCCTCGTTAGCACTATCTGGTACTTGGGAAAAGTACCAAGCTGGCCAGTGCAAGACATCAAGGACCTATGGTGGGATGGAAAAGTGTTGGCTTTGGAGATTCTCTTGAATTTGAACTCTCCTGTTAGGAACTGGGTGGCTGGCCTGGGGTTGTAGCTCAGTGGTAGAGCGCTTGCCTGGCACGTGTGAGGCACTGAGTTGGATCCTCTGCACTGCATAAAAATAAATAAATAAAGGCACTGTGTCCATCTACAACTAAGAGAAATATTTTTAAAAAGAAGCTGGGTGACCAAGTGGTTTTGCTCTTGAGAGCCTCCTCATCTCTAATGGGGACCATTATATTCACTTTTGAGGGCTGTTGGAAGGCTTAAATGAGATTCTGTATGGAAAACTGAGGTACAAAGGGGTGTTCATTGAAAGTCAGTGGGATTGCTTATGAGGGAAATTGTCATTTGATTTGAAGAACTTAGGGGCAGGGTCAACCTCCAGTTCCAGGACTACAAATTCCAATGCTAGGTCAGGTCAGGCAGATGTGATAACTGAGTACAACAGGGCAGGTGTACGATTGTATATATCTGGAAACGGAGAGATGAGGACTTGTGTGACTTTGAGAAGGCCAACCCTGGCCAAAAGGGGAGACCTCCATCCAGCTCTGGAGATGGCCAGGTCTCCTGACTATTTTTTGTTTGTTTGTTTTGAGATGGGGATGGCCTCAAACTTTTGGGCTCAAGCAGTTCTCCTGCCTCAGCCTCCTGAGTACCTATCATCATATCTGGCTCATCTTCCAGCTTTTTTAAAAAATATTTTTTAGTTGTAAATGGACCTTTATTTTGTTTATTTTTATGTGGTGCTGAGGATCGAACCCAGTGCCTCACACGTGCTAGGCAAGCGCTCTACCACTGAGCTGCAACTCCAGCCCCTCCAACTGTTTTAAAAATCAGAAATCTGGATATTTATGTGCTAACTCCTGAGTGTGTGTGTGTGTGTGTGTGTGTGTACTGAGGATTGAACCCAGGGAACACTTTACCACTGAAGTACAATACCTAGTCCTTTTAAAATTTTGAGACAGTCTCACGAAATTGCTGAGGCTGGCCTCAAACTTGTGATCTTCCTACATTAGCCTCCCCAGATGCTGGGATTATAGGTGTGCCTAGCCCTTTCTCTTTTCTTTTTATTCTGAGACAGGGTCTTATTAAGTTCCCCAGGGTGGCCTTGAATTTGCTATCCTCCTGCCTCCGTCTCCTGAGTTGCTGGGATTATAGGCGAGTGCCACCATCCAGGCTACTCATCCTGATTTTAAACTGGCACCCCATTACAATTTATAACATGATAAGGGTCAACACTGCCAGCCAAGCAAAACTTGGATGGGGTTCAATGCTGGTCATCTCATGGCAGACCCTGGTCTAAATTATCTTTCCATTTCTTCTTGCTTTTTGCACTGTCCCGACACAGTGTTGACATATGGTCAATGTCCAGGAAGTGGGTGGGGAAATGAACAGTGATCCTAAAGACCACCAAATTACAGGGCTAGCAGAACCCCAAAGCTGTGTGGTCTAACCCCCCCTAACCTCTTCCTCCAGGTGCCTTGGTACTCTCCCCAGCCTCCTGACAGCTGGAGACAGTGGGGGAAGTCCCCATCACCCAAGACAGTTCCTTCCGTGGGTGGCCAGTGCTCAGTCTGACAGTTCTTTATGTTGGTTCTTATGTTTACACACAAATCCAATTACCCTTTGCTGCCTGAAGGCCCTTGGGATACCTGAAGTCAGGGGTCATTGCTGTCCCCTCCCCAGCATGCAGGTACCATCACGATCCTCTTGGTTCTCTTCCAACACCTGAGACTCTTTAAATCAGCATCCGTTTTTTTCCTACCATCTAACATAGGCCCCTTGAAAACTAACAGCTGCCTGTCTTACTGTGGGATCCCAGCACCTGGAGGCTGTGTTCCTCACCCCTTCCTCAGCCATTTCCCGAGTGCCTTCCTGGGGGCAGGCACTGTGCAGGGTTCTCTATTCCCTGAGACATCCTGAGGAGCCTGTGGCTTAGGCATTCCCTGCTCCTGTTTATAGCAGGGGTCTGAGGCTCAGAGGCAGTTACTTGTCCAAAGTTGTCACAAAGTTGCTTGTGCAGCTAGTAAGGCTGTTAATGGAGACCCCCAGCGGTCTGCCTCCAGGGTGCGTCCTGAGTTTGCCCTTGGCAGTGCTGCCTAGTAACAAATTGGAGGTGGTGGGGCAGCCCCCTCATTGACTCAGTGAAAACTGAGTACAGTGATAATCATTCTCTATCCCCCACATTGGCCTTTCTCATGGTCTTGTCACAACCCCAAGTTGGCAGTTTACCTTGAGGACAGGTTCTCCAGGTGAACGTTGAGAGTCACAGAGGGCAGTGCCTCAGTTTATCCGTCTGGAGGATGGGAAGACGTGTTTGACCGACGGAAGGATTGTTGAGAGTTAATATAGGAACAGTTTAGAACGGGACCTGGAACATAAAGTGCTCAGCCAATACTGGCTTTATCAGAATGTCATTTATCTAAGTTTTAAGTGACTTCTTATCACGTGCATTAGAGTGCCTCTCAACAGCTTTGCCTCTTGACTGGGGAGCACTTCCCTTGGAGGCCCGCAGCCCCAGAAGCTTGCACATTGAGTGAGGTTATAGGCGGTAAATACTTGGACGTCCATTATCTCATTTGAGCTAGTGGAGGCCCTAGGTTGAGTATGTATTGGCTGTCCTGGGATCAGATACTAATTGTGGCCATTTATGGAGCCCCCAGCCCCCAAAAGAGTAAACATGACTCCAGGCCACCCCCAGGAACACCGAGGTTGGTTTGATCAGGCCTGGGACTTGAAGGCAGGACTCTGGTTCAGGCTGCTCTCATCTCAGCAGCTTCTGCTTTTCTGTACTGAATGCTCCCTTCCCCCTCCTCAGCTGAGAACATCACCGCCAACACTACCCAGGACCAGCAACACCAGTGGCCCAGCTGTGACCAGCAGGAAGAGATGCTCAATCTTGGCTTTACCATTGGCTCTTTCCTGCTCAGTGCCACCACCCTGCCACTGGGGATCCTCATGGACCGCTTTGGCCCCCGGCCCCTCCGGCTGGTTGGCAGGTAAGGTGGCTGGGCTGTGGGAGCTAGAGGACTAAGAAGATACTGCAGCCCCGGGTGGGGTGGGGCCGGGGAGGCTCACCGGTCAGTCCTGCCCTTCCCTGTGTCCCCACAGTGCTTGCTTCGCTGCATCCTGCACCCTCATGGCCTTGGCCTCTCGGGACACGGAAGGTGAGCTGCCTGACCTCTTGTGCTTCCATAAGAAGAGAATGGGTGGAATGAAGGGGGATGTCCTGGCCTCCCACAGCTCCCCAAATGCCCTCACCTGCCCCTCTCCCCCTTCCCAGTCCTGTCTCCATTGATATTCCTGGCGCTGTCTCTGAATGGGTTTGGTGGCATCTGCCTCACATTCACTTCACTCACTGTGAGTATAACAGGCCACGCGGGTGCAGAGTGGGGTTAGCAATGGGTGGGGCACTGGTGGGGGAGGGGCTCAGAGGGTGTCGATCAGGTGCATGTGTGTGAAATTGTGCAGGTGGCAGCTATGGGTGGGTGTGGTCAGTGTGTGTTCACCTAGCCCGTGAATGTCGGATGAGCTCCATTCTAGGCACAAACACGGCCTGGGTCTGCAGCACAAACAGGATCAACCTTCTAGGAGTTTCCATTTCAGAGCTAGGAGGAACAGAAAACCCAATAAGCAAGCAAACTCATAAATTATGTCAGTAGTCACAAGTGCTAGGAAGAAAATTAAACTGGATAATGTGATAGGGAGGGGAAAGGGAGCAGCTGGAGATGGTGTGTGTACCTTTGCCGTGTGTGTGTGTGTGTGTGTGTGTGTGTGTGTGTTGCTGTCCATGTAGAAGGGCAGGAGTGGGAGTGGGTAAATATATCTATGAGGTTGAATATGAAATTGCCAACATTTGTTCGTGCTTGATCTATAAAACTGACTTTTTCACAACTTCACCTATTTGTTATGTGTGTTTATCAAAGTGTGTATGTTTGTAGAGGTGAGTAATATAAGGAAGGGACACGTGGAGGTAGGTGGCCTGGGCCGCCTTCGCCTTTGGTTTAGGGTTGTTTATCTCTGATGCGGACCAACTGGGAGTTTTGGGCAGAATTTCTCCTCACCCCAGCAGCCGCCTATAATTCCAGCTGGGGACGTTTCACAACTCTCAAGGAAACGGATCCCTTCCTACCCACAGCCCCTTCCCGCTGGGCAACTTGGCTTTTGTCCCCAAATCCCTCTCCCTTCTCCGGGGGCGGGCCTGCGGCTTGACCTCCCCACACCCTCCCAGGCCAGCCAAAGGGGCTCCGCCCGCGGGCCGCCGGCGGCTCCTCGCATCTTCGCGGTCGGGTAATCTCCAGCCAATGGCAGTGGCCGGCGCCGGCCCCGCCCTCGCCCCGCCTCCCACCGGTGTTGCCCCCTGCCCGCGGGTCAGCTCCAGCCCAGCGCCCAGGGCTGCAGCGGGTTGCTGTTGGCGCCGGCTGCTTCCTATCCGCTCCCAGCCTGCCAGTGCGGGTCAGCCTGCGGTTAGCAGGGCTGGCCTTGTCCTCCTCCTGGTGCTGAGCTGACACGGCCCTTGAGGAGCCGGGGTCCTGGCCCTGGCCTCCTTCCCTGATGTCGTTGGCAGTGTGCCTGGCAGAGAAAGAGGGTGCCCAGGGAAACCTCTGCCCAAGTGGGGATAACTTTGCTCCACTCCCTTTATGGAGTCACTGGGGCGGGGGGGCGGGGGAGGACAGCCCAATTCTCTGTGTTTAAATATTTTCCTTCTCAGAGCTATTTGAAGTCCATTTACAGAGCCATGCTCCATTTCCCCCTCTGTGGAGGAGGGGCTAGGCTCTGCATGGCATGTAAAGTCCTACTCATCTATGGGATGTGGTGACTTGGGGAGGGTGATAGGGCCAAAGGGAGACTTTGCCCTCTCTTCCCCTGAGGGCCTGGGTCAGGCCCGGAAACATACAATCAATCCTTGACTGGTTGGAGTTCTGCATCTGCTTTGCCGGCCAGAGCCACCTGTCCGGTGACCATCAGGCTTGTTTCTGTCCCCTCCCAGTCTCTGTCTCACCTCCATAGCCCTTTCAGTGATTCCTCCTAGTTCAGTAGGCTGGGGTTTTTGGGTGCCATCAAGAAGTTTAAGGGCACCATCTTAGTTATAGAGTCAGCCCTGAGCACAGCCTTCAGGCTAGATGCAGAGCAGGGGAGAAAGTCTTTAATACGCTTTGTGAACCCGAGGGCACTTCTTTCCCTCTTGGCTTCAGTTTTCTCATCTGTGAAATGAATTGAACCTGATCAGTGTTTCTGAACACGGGTTCAATGCGAGGATTTAGAGGTGTAACACAATCAAGGGGTTTCATAAGCAACCAACTTGGGCAACCCCGGATTAAATGGAATTTAAAAAGTCTCTCTAGGAGGTGCTTCTGGGAATCTTTAGGTGCTAATGTGCATTGTAGGTGTGCCAGAGGGGGTCAGAGTACAGTTTCCTATATTGATTTTGTCTTGGAACCTCCCCTCCCCACAGTGCTGGGGATCAAACCGAGCACTCTGGGCATACTAGGCAAGCGCTCTACCACTGAGTTACATCCCCAACCAAGGGCTTTTCCGTTGTATCTCTTGGTGACATTGTTGCTGGAGCCTACGTTTAAGAAATGCCCCCATGGAGCCTCCAAGATTTCTAGGGGGGCTCTGGGCAAGGGGAGCCCTAGGTGATGTCAGGCTATTCACGGTACCATTCTTCTCCCCCAGCTGCCCAACATGTTTGGGAACCTGCGCTCCACTTTCATGGCCCTCATGATTGGCTCCTATGTCTCTTCTGCCATCACTTTTGGAGGAATTAAGGTATGGAGGTTCTTGAGGGACCAGTAGAGTCACCTGTCTTTTTACCTTGATGCTAGAACTGGGTGTGGCTGGGTGAGTGGTGGCTATCGTGTCCAATGGCCCTGTTCCTGCCCATCATAGGTCATTTCCCACCATTGTGCAGAAAAGCACTGAAGCATCCTGGGAAGGGCCCTGGCCCTACTGCTGACCCAAAGGTCAGACATCTCCAGTCTCCTCTTTCCTTCACCCATGTCCCAGCAGACCTTTCTTTTCTCTCCTGGACCCAGCAAACTTCCTCAGCCTCTGATCTTTTCTTTGTCTAATCTGCAGTCACATGACTTCCTGACTGATACTAGAAAACCATTGCACAGACTCACAAGTCAAGGGCTCGACTCTCTGGCTTCGCTCAGCCTTTTGAGTCATACCTCCCTACTGGGGAGGCTGAGTGAGTTGGTCCAAGGTCACAAAGTGAGTCTGTGCCAGGTAGCTCATGGACAGGTCAGCCTGGTGACTTGGGAGCCTAGACGCCTGAACTTGGGGCAGGCTGGGCGTCTCAGTTTCTTCCTCTATTAGACTCTGTCAAAGGCTTCTTTTATTTATTTATTTATTTTATTTTTGCAGTCCTAAGGCCTGAATCTAGGGCAGCTCTCAAAGTGCTGTTTTTGCCTGGGCTGGGATATGTTCCTTAAACTCTACGTTGGGTAGTTAATTTTTGATTTAAAAGGCACTTCTGCTCACCCTCTCATAGGAGTTGGAGAGTGTGTGAATGGGCCAACTGTTACTCTCACACATTTGGGGTTGTGGCCCTTTTAAGCTCAGTCCTGTCCCCAGAAAGGAAAGTACCTTAAGGCCCAAAGCCAAGGAGTGGCAGAGGTTTCTCCCAGGAGGCAACTGGAGCTCTGAGCAGGAGCCTGGCAGTCATCCCAGGTGGAGGGTGTCAGGGAGGACACGAGGAACCACAGCATCTTGGTGCACAGGGACTTCACCCACTAGAGGGGATGTCTCATTGAACCCAGTCAGTGCAGAACCGAATTGTCCTGGGGTTAGGAGGCCTTATGAGGGCAGAGGACTTTCCATCCCCATCCTCTTGGTCAACTGGAAGCACCTGTTAAAGGTGAGATAAGGTTTTTCAGATTGGGTTTGCCTTTCCCCCAGGGAACGTGCCAGAAAGGGACAGAATAAACACCGTTGGGTCTGGTAAACCCAGAGCTTTAATTTTCCTTTGTACAGAATATGAAATGACTTTGTGTGTGTGTGTGTGTGAAAATAAACATTTTGTGGAACCACAGACAAAATATGTGCCTTTTTAAGACCATAATTGAGATTTCCAAGACATTCGGAGTGAGTGGCCAACAACTTCAGCACTTTGTGGAGACTACTCCACACTTCTTGAGAGGGGCTTGGGTGAATGAGGAAGAAGATTGGTAGGTTTGGGGATCTGACTCTTAATTTCTGGCTTTATTTTTTTCAATTGCAAATTGGGCACGAGGAATGGGGAAGAGGAGATTTTTAAGGCTTCAGAGAGCTGGGTTTGACCTCTGTGGGGCCTGGGGCCAAGCAGCCTCCTCCATGGGCTGTCCTGCTCCTCCCACAGCTGATCTACGATGCTGGGGTGTCCTTTGTGGTCATCATGTTCACCTGGTCTGCCCTGGCCTGCCTTATCTTTCTGAATTGTGCCCTCAACTGGCCCATGGAAGCCTTTCCTGCTCCTGAGGAAGGTGCTTACAAGTGAGTGGCTGGAGGGGTGGGGGTTTGGCGTGGGAAGGGGACTCCCCCTTGCACCACTGAAGGGGAGGCCAGGGCCCTGAGGTATGACACAATCAGCTTTGGAGAGAGACCTACATTTGGAGCCCCGCTTTGCAAATGCCTTCATTTCTCCGAGCTCTGCTTTCTCATCTGTACAGTGAGAAATTCTACCCATTCACAGGTGTTTTGAAATAATAGAGCTGGCCCATGATGGGTGGTCAAAATATGGTGACTGTTGAGCCCGGTGGTGTATGCCTGTAATCCCAGTGACTTGGAAGGCTGAGACAGGAAGACTGCAAGTTCAAGGCCAGCCTCAGCAACTTAGTGAGAACCTGTCTCAAGAAAGAAAGAGAAGTAGGGATGTAGCTCAGTGGTAAAGTTCCCTTGGATTCAAACCCAGAACCAAACCAAACCCAAATCAAAACACAACACACACAGACACTCAAAACCACCACCACAAAAACCCATAGAGAATATTATTGTTATTATCCTTTCTGTGTTTGGAGATCAGAAATCTGGTATACCAGCAATAGCACCAGATACTTTTTGGACCCAAAAGGGAAGATGTAGAGGAATCAAGCAGACCACCTGCTGTGGGGCAGCTGGAATTCCAGCTCTTCCCAGCTTCATTGCGACTCAGCAGTGGCAGAGGGTGGTGCCCCACAACCAGCCACATAGGGTGGCAGTCATGTAGCTGACATTTATGGAGTACCTACTCTATGCTGGCACTGTACTTAGCTCCCATATCATTCTCTAATACCTGTGTGTCTCTGTTAGATACTTCATTAATAACAAAATGCAAGCCAGGCACAGTGGCACAGGCCTGTAATCCCAGGGGCTTGGGAGGATCGAGAATTCAAAGCCAGCCTCGGCAAAAGTGAGGCACTAAGCAACTCAGTGAGACTCTGTCTTTAAATAAAATACAAAATAGGGCTAGGGATGTGGCTCAGTGGTTGAGTGCCCCCGAGGTCAATCTCCAGTATCCTCCCACCCTGCAAAAAACCCCAACAACAACAACAAAAATAACAAGATGCAAAGAACAAAGTGATTTTCTGAAGGTCATCCCATTGAAAAGGGTTTGAATTCTCCATGCTGCCTCTTCTGTAGGAACAAGTGAAAATGATTCATTTGCCGTTTGTTGTTGATCTGTGCCTGTGCTGGTCTGTCTCTGGGCCAGGCTCTGAGCCACAGAGATGAGCCCTCCATTCGGGAGCTCATTAGTGGGTCTGTCAACGCTAGGGATCCTCGACACTCTTGGGACAGGCTGGGATGGCACCCTGGAGTTGAGGGTGGCCTCTGTGTGGCTGGTTTTCTTATGCTCTGGCCTGGTTGCCTGCAGGAAGAAGGACAATCTCGCTGGATTGAACCTGGACCACAAGCTCACGGGTGACCGCTTCTACACCCATGTGACCAACGTGGGTCAGCGGCTGAGCCAGAAGGCTCCCAGCCTGGATGAGGGGGCTGACGCGTTTCTCTCATTCCAGGACGCCCATGACACCTCAGAAGACCTTCCTGAGAGTAAGTGTCTGGTCGAGGTGCCAGCACTGGGGACTGGGAGGGTGCATTCTTACAACTTCTGTTCTCACACTACCCTGGGATGCAGGAGGAGCACACTTCCCACTCACAGATGGGGAAGCCAAACTTCAAACAATTCTGGCAATTTCAGATTCGGGGATACCCTGCTTGGTACCCCGGGTGAGGAAGGGAGGAGCAGAGTCTCTTGGTCTGTCCAGCAATTGGTTCACTCAGGGTCCCCTGCAATCTCTGAGCCTGTTGTGACAGGGCAGTGGAGCTTTCAAAAGATGCAGCCCTCCTACTCTTGGCTGTCCAGCGCCCCCTGCTGTCTGCAGGAGGAGCTGCATCCACCTGCTTGGGTCACTTCTCAAGGCGTTGACTTGGGGATATAGCTCAGTTGGTAGAGTGCTTGCCTCACATGCACAAGGTCTTGGGTTCAATCCCCAGCACCACACCAAAAAAAAGAAGGCGTATATCCTTTGGTGAGAGAGGATGGGGTTTGAGTCCTGCTTCCCATGCGTGGGCTATGTAACTTGGGTGGATCACTTGTGCTTGATCTCACCTTCTTCACCTCTCAAACTAGCACTAATAGAACCCACTCAGCTGGGCATGGTGGTGCATGCTTGTAATCCCAACCCTGTGGGAGGCCGAGGCAGGAGGATTGCAAGTTCTAGGCCAGCCTCAGCAACTTAGCAAGGCCCTATGCAACTTAGTGAGAACCTGTCTCAAAATAAAAAATAAAAAGGGCTGGAGCTGGTGTTGTGACTCAGTAGTAGAGTGTTCTGGCTTCAATCCTGGTGCCAAAACCAAAACAAAAGCACCCACCTAAATAGGCAAGTTAGTTGTAAGGGTTGGATTACATCATGGACATGGGACCTCTTTGTAAAGTGCAACATTGGTATGTTCAGGAGGGTAGTTATTCCCACTGCCCATCCCCATGGGACAAGTGGTGAAGGGCAGGAGCCTGAGTCAGGCCAACCTGCTGTTTCTGGTCCTGTGAGCTCAGGCAGGATCTGTCTGAACTACAGTTTCCTCATCTGTAAAATGTGGTAAAGAGCTGAGCACATGGTGGCAGGCAGTTGTAATCCCAGCTACACCAGAGGCTGAGACAGGAGGATCCCTTGAATTTAGGAGTTCAAGACCAGCCTGGATAACATTGTGAGTCCCTGTAGAGGAGGTTAGTGTAAGATTTGGTTCAATGGAATAGCTCATAGTAAGTGCTTCAGTTATTATTACCACACAAAACACCGCTGTGGAGATAGTTACTGAGCGGTCCTTCTCCAGAGTCACATAGTTAGTGTCCCAGCCTCCATTAGGCCTGCATGAGCTGGGACAAACAGAGAGAAACTGGAGTTCTGGGGGCCTAGGGGCACCCCCTGCTGTCTTTCCACAGTCTGTCCCCTTCCGCAAGAGCCTCTGCTCCCCCATTTTCCTGTGGAGCCTCGTCACCATGGGCATGACCCAGCTCCGAGTTATATTCTACATGGCCATCATGAACAAGATGCTGGAGTACCTCATGACCGGTGGCCAGGAGCATGGTGAGGCACTGCTGAGGCCCAGGGTGGGGGCATAGGAGGGTCACCTGGCTGAGCTGGCTCACTGTGTCTCTCCCCTACCCACAGTGACGGATGAGCTGAGACAAAATGTGCAAGAGACAGGTAGGGAGATGAAAGCGGGGCCCAGGCCCCGGGCCCACCCTGCCGTCGCCTGTTCCCCAGGCGCTGGGATTCCTCTGGGCCTGGGCCTACCCTGGTAACCCTGGGGATCCAAGAACCTGGGTCAGAGGGAGGCTGTTTGTCTGCTGGAAGTGGGTGGCCGTACCCACGGGGCCACTAGCATCCTGACCCCACTTCCCTTCCTGTCCTGTCCAGTTGGGTTCTACTCCTCCATCTTTGGGGCCATGCAGCTGCTGTGCCTTCTCACCTGCCCCCTCATTGGCTACCTCATGGACTGGCGGATCAAGGATTGCGTGGACTCCCCATATGAGGGCATTGCTCTCGGAGATGCCAGGTGACCTGCCCAAGGATGGAGACAGCGAGTGGTCAGACAGTGCTTTTCGTTTTCTCCATTCTTGCACATACAGTGTCTCATTTCATTCTCCTCAGAGTCCTGGGAGGGTAGGAGTACTTCTCCACTTTTACAGATGAGGAAACGGAGGCTAGAGGGGGTGTGGCTTGCCTGGTCATAAGAATAGCTTAACAGTGAGGACTGACTCTGTGTGAGTCACCTTTTGTGATCCGTTGAGTCCTGCGGCAGCCCTCTGAGGTGGGTGTATTATTGTCCTTGTTTGCAGATGAGGAAGCTGAAACACAGGGTCACATGGTTAAGTAACTTACTCAAGACCCCACGGCAAGCTCCAGAAACTATGTCACAAAGACCRTACTCCAAAGTGTTCTTAACCCACGAAGTCCCGAGTTTTTGTTTCGTGAATGTCTCAATGAAATTGATACAGGTGCATTAAAATAGAGTAGAAGTAATAATCTAGAGCTTATATATCCTTTATAGATATACATAACCTCATATATATGTGTGTGTGTGTGTGTRTAYACASASACACACACACACACACATGTATTACATAATGACCTCAAATATTGTAGTCATTTACCTATTTTCTCAAAAGAACAGAATTCTAAAAACACAATATCTATTTCAAAAGTTTCCATAAGTGGTATATTTATTGTCCCACACCTGGGACCATGGGGCTTACTGAGTTAAAGCTAGGGGGAGATGGAATTGGTGTATGAGATTTATTGYTGCGTAACTAACTACCCCATCTTTAAACAACAAACACTTACCATCTCATACAGTTTCTGGGAATTGGGAATTTGGGGATGACAGCTGATTCTGACCCAGGGCCTCTCATGAGGCTGTGGTCCAGCCTCGGGCCAGGGCCACAGTCATCTGAGGACTGCCTGGGGCTGCAGAGCTGCTTCCAAGCTCAGCCGCGTGGCTGTGGGTAGGAGGGTCAGTGCCTCCCCACGAGGGACCCTTGGGTCTTGAACCCACTGTGTCTGCAACCGGTCTTCTGACRGCTTTTGGTTTTTGTGTCAGTACAAATAGTCCCCATTTGTCCTGAGAGGATGGGAGAGAGACAGCGGGAGAGAAGCCATGTAAGGAACAATCCAGGGGCTTCTCTCTCTACCAGCAGTGCCCCAGCCTTCCTCCCTGACCCTGTGCTCCTGGTGGCCAGGGTCCATTAGCTGGCCTCTTTGTCCAGGATAGATGGGCAGCGTGCCCTCACCCCAGCCTACTGACCTCTCTCCTGGGCTGGCCACGGAGCTCTTGATCATGCCAGACAGAGGAGCTTTCTGGTCAGTCAGAGGCCCAGCTGTCTAGACCGGCGGGAGAGCCGATGTGAAACTCCCTTTTCTCTACCATGCTTCTCAGTCTTGATTCTAAAACTGCAGTGTGCATCAGAAATGCTCCGGGCATTTGTCCTGCAGACTCCTGGGCTTCACTCCTGAGGCTCTGAGACCTGGGGTCAGGCCTGCCTTCTAGGAAGACATCCCCCGCCCCCAATCTGATGCTTGAGTGGTTGGTTGGGGGAACCACACTTTGAGAGAACGGTTTTCCTGCCTTTTCTTCTGCCCCAACAATCAGGGGCAGGGGGCAGGGCCTGGTTGAGAACCAGGGAGGTCCAGGTGGGGTCCAGTGATGGCTTTTTCTCCTCAGGGATGGGGTCACCACCAAGTCCACCAAACCACGCTACCGCAAGATCCAGAAGCTCACTAATGCCATCAACGCCTTCACCCTGACCAACCTCCTCCTTGTGGGTTTTGGTATCACCTGCCTTATCAGCGACCTACACCTCCAGGTGCCGCTTCCCTCTGTCCCCTCCCTCTGCCTCCCAYGATCCTCCCAAGGGACGATCCACCAGGGCCTGCCTTCGGGAGGCATGGCTCTGGCCCCTGCTYGGGGTCTGTTTCCCGGGTTCCCAGGTGTTCTTAGTAGATGGGTYGCAGGTGGGGTGGGAGTGTGTCGATGACTTGGTGAGGCCCCAGGTCCCTGTGCACCCCGCCTTGACGCTGTCTCCCTTTTGGTTTCAGTTTTTGACTTTCGTCCTGCACACCATCGTTCGAGGATTCTACCACTCGGCCTGTGGGGGCCTGTACGCTGCCGTGTGAGTCATTGAGGCTGAACGCCTTTCCCAGCTTTGTCCCCGTCCCAGAGAAAACCAGGGTAGAGCCAGAAGGGGCCCTCGCGTCCCTTCAGTACCTCTCCTGCATGCTGACCTCTCAGAGTTGGGGGGCCATCTGGTGCACTCCTCTGAGCCCCTCTGATCATGGGGAGCCCACCTTCTCCACGTCAGCCCCCCCACCCCAGGGAGACTCCCGTTGTTGGAAATCTTCCTTGGGGGAAGCTGGAATACGTGGTTTGATGACAGAGGCGCTGGTCCCTGGGTCTGCTGTCAGAAATGGCCTCCACCGTGGCCTCCCTCCCCCCTTCCTGATGACTTTCCTTCTTCCCYGGGAACAGCCCCGTGTCCCTTTCTCTCCTAGTTTCCACTGCCAGGCACTGCTGAGTGCCTCCCCTGTGGGGCGATGGAGTAATAAAGGACATTACAGTAGCGATGGCAGAATCTTAACTGGTACCGGGGGCCTCGTCCGCGGCCGGTCCAGGCCAGGAGGCTTGGCCGTTGCTCCCTAGTGTGAGCCTCACGGCAGCCTCTCGGCACCGAGCAGCCTGTCCGTGTCTTGAGCTTGTCTCTGTGTTTGTTCAAGCCAAGGGCTTACAGTCACCCTTGAGTCTTCTTCCTGCTCCACCTTCGATCCATCGGCCTCCTGCCCACATTCCACCACCCCTTCGACTCCTTCTGACCGCCATTGCTGCGACCTCGGGCCAAGCCACTGTTGGCTCCAGCTTGGATCACTGCAGTGGCCTCCAAATAGTCTCTTGAGGCTTGTCCTTCTTCAGTCCTTTTGTGTGTGTGTGTGTGTGTGTGTGTGTGTGTGGTTCTAGGAATTGAACCCAGGGATGCTCTGTCACTGAACCATATTTTACTTTTCATTTCGAGGCAGGGACTCATTAAGTTGCTGAGGCTGGCCTCCAACTTGTGATCCTCCTGCCTCAGCCTTCCAGGTCACTGGGACTAGAGGTGTGCCCCACGGTGCCTGGCCTCCTCAAGTCTAYTTTTACACTAGTGGCTAGAGTCCCCTGGTAGGATATACATCTCTTCATGTCACTAGTCTCACTCGAGAGTAAAAGCCAAAGGTTTATTATGACCTAAAAATCCCCACAAGACCTGGCCCCCTCTCCTCACTCCCTCACTCTTAGGCCTCAGAAGCCCCAGCATGTTACGCCCTCGGGGTCTTTGCGCTCGCTGTTCCTTCTTGCTAGAACACTCTTCCTCCAGATGTCTGCCAGGCTCACAGTTCCACCTCCTCCTCTTCTTACCTGCCGGCCTCATCTGCTGAGGCCTTCCCAGGCCACCCTCTCTACAGGTGAAGCCCCCCTAACCTCCCCAGCCTCTTCTCTGCCTGACCTCTTTCCTCAGCACCTAGACYGTGCACTTGTTCACGGTCGGATGGCCACCTGCTCCATCCATGACAATGTCACCCTGTGAGGCAGGCATCTTTGCCCGCTTGGCACATAGCTTTATCCCCAGCACCTAGATCAGTGCCATTTGTGGAAAGGATAAAGTGAGCAGCCGAGTGGGTTTCATGCTGTCCCTGTTATTCGGGGAGCTGGGGAACAGAGGGGTTGAGCTCCTTAGGATGATCACACAGATAGGAGCTGTCAGACCCGCAGGGCTCAGGGCCTAGGCATGCCCCCTCAAAGACAGGGACCAGAGAGCACATGCAAGGCCAGTAGTCCTCTTCCTGGTGAGGTCCTCCCTGGCCACCATCTCTAGCTAAGTTCTGCTCTGCTTGCCAAGAGAGCGAAGCCTGGGGCGGGGGCACAGTGGGGGGCGGTTAACCCTGATTCCTGGCCACCTCTCTGTGGACAGGTTCCCATCCAACCACTTTGGGACGCTGACGGGCCTGCAGTCTCTCATCAGCGCCGTGTTCGCCCTCCTCCAGCAGCCGCTCTTCATGGTCGTGGTGGGACCCCTGCGAGGAGACCCCTTCTGGGTGAGAGCCAGGGTGGGCTCAGGGCACAGGGAAGAGGGAGGGGGACTCGTATGTGATAGCATCCCAAGCTGGTGCCCATCAGAACTCCTGGTGGAGTGTTAAGAACGCAGGTCCCCGGCCTCCTGAACTGGCCTCTCAACCTGGCTCTGTTTTCAGTAAGCCCCCAGGTGAGTTGCACGGTGGGCCAGCCCTGATCCTCGAGCCYGTGTTTAGGAGCCCTGGTCCCTAAGGTCCTACCAGGGGTCTTCCCTGCAGCACGGAGGGTATTCGATAGGTTTTCCCTTGCATTGAACTGACATCTGCTTCCCTGAAACCAATTTCTGTCCCTTCCCCCAAGAACTGTGATGAAAGAACTGCTCCCGCTCCTGGAGAGTTTGCTGTGTGCCAAGCACGCTGTGTACCTAGCACGCTGTGTACCTTTGGGCACTTGATCTTGGCCACAGTGGCCGAGAAAGAGGCACTTGGAGTGGAGGTGGCTGGCCCCGAGTCACACTGTGTCTTGTGGAGTAGAATGTGAACTCATTCACTCTCTTGGGCCTTGCAAGTCATCTGTCCCGCAGTCTGTCCATCTCTGTTCCTTTGCCCAGGCCTGAGAGCCGCTGCTCATCACCCCACATGGCACCCCATTGGCCAATATCTGCCAGCCCATGTCCCATTGCAAAGGCAGCCTGTCCCCCAAGAGAGTGCCCCATTGTGTGGCCCCCAGCCAGGCCCTGCCACTTACTAGACTCCAGGGTTTTCATCTCAGCCACTTGGCCAGGCTGCTGAGCATTAAATGAGATACTGATGGAGCAGCGATCGCATGCACTGAGTGCTATTTCTCATTCTTCTTTAGGTCTTGGAGCAAAAATGGCTGCCTTCTCCTCTGCGTTGGTGGCTAGGGCAGGTCTCTGAGGATGGTGAGGTTTAACCAGCACATACTTGACTTTCTCTTTCCTTTCCCTAAAGGTGAACCTGGGTCTCTTGTTATTCTCACTTCTGGGATTCCTGCTACCTTGCTACCTCTTCTACTTCCGTGCCCGGCTCCAGAGGGAGTATGTCACCAATGAGCCAGGCCCACAGAAGATGCTCAGCACCTCCAAGGGGGCAGCATAGACGTCTGAGGCTGAGAAACTGGATGACCGGCAACCAAGGCTTGAATAACCAAAGGGAACCCCCGGACGGCTCCCTACCTGTCACATGTGCATGGAGCCCGGAGCCGTGCATTTAAAAGATACCAAGAGAAGGTCTATTTTTATAGGGACTTGCAAAAAGGGGTGGGGATAACCTTAAGACAATATTTCCCAAAGCAACCCTCCAGGGACTGAAGAAGCCTCTGTGCTGGAGGAATTGGGCCTTCTTCCTTGGACAGAGGAGACCAAGGCGTGAGGCTGCTCTTTCTCCAGGCCTTTGTCCCAGGGGCCTCGAGGGTCCTGTCTTCTGGTGCCTCTGGAGGACTGTGGGGTCAGTGAGCAGGCTACCCCTGCGGCCCCAGCTGCCAGGAGTGTGAGTTCCTGTGTGTGCTGTGACATACCTTCCCCCAGAGGAAAAGGGGCTCAAGGTACTGGCTGTGTCCTGTACCGGGTGCGGGGACAAGCCCCTTGCACGACTGGAGGGCAGGTTCCCTCTCTGGTGCTGCTGCTCTCAGATCCGAGAGGAAATAAAAAGGGAGCGGGAGACTGGCTGGCGTGTACCTGTGCTTTGGGGCAGTGGCGGGAAGGTTGTCTGTCCCCTGTCCCTCCTCCCTCGGGCTCAGCTGGGCATTAGGTAGTATGCCTGGGRTGCCAGGCTGTCCTCGCGCTGTCTGGCTCACCTCCCCGTTCTCTCCCTGCCTTGAGTGCCAGGAGGAAGTCTGAATCTTGCCCTCCACTTCCCAGGGTTTGGGGTGCACCCAGGAAGCTGGCCTTTTTCCACCCAGTGGATCAGAGAAGGATGCTTCAGAAAGAAAACTAGGGGATGACTCAAACTTTCCCACCGAGGCATCTCTGGGGCCTGCTGAAAGCAACACCTCTTTGTAGTCTCCTATTTTATCTTAAAACTTCATGCAAATTTTAAGCTTTATGTTATGCTATATTTACATTTGCTTTTTTTTTTTTTTCCCTTTGGTTCTGGGGATTGAACCCAGGGTACTGTACCACCGAGTGAGCTATATCCCCAGTCCTTTTTTTCTATCTTATTTTGAGATGGGGTCTTGCTAAATTGCTGAGGCTTGCCTCAAACTTGTGATCCTCCTTCCTGCCTCAGCCTCCAGATCCTTGGTGTCTCAGGCATGTGCCACCATACTCAGCTATGTTACTTTTAACATTAAAGTGAGACTTTAAAATTATCCACATTAAGGGAAGACATCATCTTTGAGGACAAGAGACTGTTCCGGAAGATGTAGCTCATTTACCCTGCACCTACTTGTGTTCCTGGGACATAAACCTTACCAATTAAAGTCACAGAATGGAGGGGCAACTAACTGTGGTTGAGGATCTGTCCGTTCTATACAGTGTCTCCTTTCATCCCAACAATAGCACAAGAGGTCGATATTGTCATCCTGTTTTGGAGATTGAGGAACAAGCCCAGAGAGGTTAAGGCAGAAACCAAGGACACACAGTGGTGGGTGGTAGAGCTCATCATGGAACTCAGGCAGTCTGCCTGCAGAGTCCTAACCTCAGGCCTTCCCTGGCAATCAGGGGTGAAATAGAGACCCCAAGCTTCTTCCCAGTTATCAGCAGCCCTCTCTGGGCTGAGAGTGACCTTGACATCCCTATCCATCCTCCTCTCCCCCATTTCTATCCCTGAAAAGGACCTGGGAGATAGCATCCCGTCTCTGTCTTAAGTTTTCTTGAGAAGTTAATGAAACAGACTGGCCCAACTGTTTTCAATTGAGAAAATGTTCAGAGAGGTGTGGAGACTTGACCAGGTCACACTGCACATCCCTGGCTGCTCAGAGCTGACTTCCAACATTGCCTTAGCAAAATACAAGATCAGAGTTAGCGCCCACCAGGGGATCCTGCCGGTTCCCAGAGGCCCTGCCCGGATCTCACTGCGCTCTCCGGGCCGGGATCTTGGCTTTCCCAACAGTGTGGTGAAGATTGAGCAAGAAACGTGAGATCCCACCGGATTCTGGGTGGGAAGCGGGCGTGCGCGCCCGGTACCCGGTGCGCCCAGCAGGCGGCGCTGCATGGCTGTGGCTGGCGCAGCCTGGGACCCGGGCTGGGGGCGGCGAACCACTCGCGGAACCCCACACCCCGCCCACTAGTCCGCCCCTCCCGGGGCTCGGCCTCCTGAGCCTCTAACCTGGACATACTCTGCCCCTCCTTTGAGGTCTCCCGGGTGTCTTCCCGGACCCCCAACCTTTCAGGCATCGTCTCCAGCCCCACCGCCCACCCCYACCATGGAAGGAAGGGGTCTCCGCGCTCAACCCTGCCCAGCTGAGGCCTGGGACCGGGTGGGCGGTGGAGGCAGACCTTTGGGCCTCCTAGGAGAGGGGTGCCACCACTTTTCCTCTCCCGGGGATGGGGGGAGTTTGGGGAGGGGGCTGGGCAGGGGCGGAAGCGAGCTGGAGCCGTGTTTGTCGCGGCGCTGCGGAGTAGAACAGATGGCTGGGGAGGGGAGAGGGTGCGTGGCGGGGAGGAGGAGGGGTGCGGGGGCCGAAGGACGAGGAACGAGGAATTTCGACGCCCCGAGTCTCCCGGGAGAAGCCCCCGCCCTCCGTGTCTTCCCAGAAAGCGGGGCGGACGGAGGCCTGCCTTTCCCCGCAGGGCTCCGGCCCCCGGCCGACCCCTGTGCCCCGCCCGCCGCCCCAGGGCGCGCCCCTCGCCCTCCGGTTCCCACCGCGCGGCGGGCTGGCGGGGTCGAGGCCAGCGGGAGCCGCCCGGGGCGCAAGGGTTAAAGGGGCCGCGATCCGGAGGACGAGGGGGCGGCGGGAAGTGGGCTCCCGGCTGGGAGCGAGTTCAGGGATCGCAAATAGCTAAGGGAAAACGTGTTAATTGGAACTTTATGCAGATGAGCTGGGACTGGGGGCTGGCGGGAGGGGGAAGGGACGGGTCAGAGGGACGTCGGACCGAGCTGGGCCCTGAGGGCCAGGGTGGCGGGCTCGGGCCAGGGGACGGAGGCGCGACTGTCCCTAGATTCGTGMGAGGCACCTCGGGAGGGCGCTAGTCCTCTCTGACCCTCCGCCGCAGAAACCTGGGGTGGCCGTCTTCCCGGGCCTCGGCACCGGGTCCAGAAGTTCTGCCTCCGAGGAGAGGGCGGGGCGCACCTGCACGTGCCGGTTTCGGATACTGGCCGCTCGCGGGTCTCGCTCCCTTTGTCCCCCCCCCCCCCCCCACTCTCCGGTTACATCTCGTCTCAGTTTGCTGGCTGCATCCTGTATCTCCTCCACCCAGGGCGTCACCTTTTTTTCCATGCACGAGTCTGGTCCATAACTTTCACCAGGTGCGCGGGGGTGGGGGTGGGTGGGTGGCAGCGGAGCTAACCTTGCTCCACTCGCACTCGCCTTTCTGACCCACGGGGACCACCCCACCTTCGAGGGGAAGTTTCTTCAACTCTGGAGTGCTTTCTAACCCACCCCCACTTGTTAACATGCAGCGTCCAGGGTGCCTGAGAGAGAGGCTTCTGCAGGTGTGAGGAGCGCAGGAATCAGCTTCTCATTTAAATCGGATGCAAAGGGCCCTGATTTTTAGGAACCCTGTGCAAGGGACGAAGGTGGGGGTGGGCGTTTAGTGGCTCCTACCACAGTCCCTACCCCCTCGCTGCCCTCAAGGTTCATGACCTCCCCTCCGCTCAGTGTGGCCGCTTAGTTTCCAGTCTAGCTTCGGGCACATCAGGAGGCCTGGGGGAGGTGCCAACTAGAAAGGAGGGAGGGATGGAGAGGAAAGGGGTGGGTCTCCACCTGGCTTTTCCCCCTCTGAGCAGGGTCTTCTCCTTCCTTTCTGCGATGTCCACTTCCACCAGCCTGGCCATATTCTCACCTCTCTCCCTCTCTCATCTGAAGTCCCTAGGAAGACCCAAGTGTCTCGGGGTGGATGGTGGAAACAACTAAAGTCCTCACCTTCAAAAGGAGGAGCCAGGGCCCCTCTCCTGTTGGGAGAAAACAGAAGGAGGGAGGCAGGACTTGAGGAAGGATAATAATTCAGACAATGCAGGTCATCTTCCCATGGGCTATGGCACTTACTCCCTACAACAACTCGACTTGACCCGGCATAGCTGCCCCTGCCTCCAGTTATAAAATGAAAATGAAAAATTACCAAAAAAAAAAAAAAAAAAAAAAAAAGATACCCTGATGTTCAGAGAGGTTAAATAATTTGCCCAAGGCTACACAGCTTGCAAGTAGGAGAGTAGTTAGGTCTTTCACCCTTCTACCCTCTCAAAACTGTTTCTCCAGGGGCCACTGGATAGCTAGCTGTCCCAGGTCTGCCCTCCCTGCCCTGCCTCCCTGGGGTATTGGGGATGGGGAAGGGCATTGTGTACACAGAGGAAAGGATATGGATACTCGGGTTTCGGAACATCTGACAGGTTTGGCTGGAGGCATTAAAAATTCATGTAGCAACCTGACCCCAACTGGACCTTGGGCCTGCCACCTGGACTGCCCCTGGCTCTGTGACCTCTTAGAGTTCCGTGGGCAAATTTTCCTTCTACAGTGTCCTGGGAGCCCCAAGTCTTTGTATTTCACAGGCGAGGAGCCCTCACACAAATTAGAGATCAGAAAGCAGGGCTGGGAGCTCTACCCCCAATCCGGTGTAAGAACCTTAGAGGCTTAAAGGCTTATAAACCTTGTCATCTGGCGTCCTTCTATTCCTCTCCGTGGGCGATTAGATGCTCGCTCTCAGGTTARGTTGGCTGAAACCCGGCTGTGCTTCCCAAGGTGGCCGTTAGGGGGCAGCCGTCCGCCTGGAGGAAGCCGGGGCCCCGCTGATGTCTGCTGCTTTGAAGGGCAGCAGGAGAACCCCCAAGCGTGGTCAGAGGGATGCAGTCTTGGCCTTGGGAAAGGCTCAGGAGCCTGGACTGGGGAGGTTTCCTAGTTTGCGGGGAGAGCAGTTAGGGGGCAAAGTAGGTTTGTGGGTTTCAAGTGCAGGATAACTGATGGCCAGCAGGACCCAAGCGTTCTTAGCTGGAGAGAAGGCTTGGGACACCGCCATGAGAGAAAAGGCTAGGAAAAGCAGATGCCTGGGGACTCTGAAGAATGTCTGATGTTCCCGTTGAGGTATTTAACCTGAGGCAATAGGGAGCCACTGTAGGTTCCTGAGGGACATAGTGGCCTAATGCAAATTTTGGCCAGATGACTCTGGTCACCAAGGGCAGGTTGGGTGAGAGGAAGGGAGAGAGGGACTGCAGCAAAATGAGTGCAGAGATTATTGCTGTTTTCTTTTACATTCCCAGCAGGAGGTCAGGAGTAGCTGGAGCAGGGAGGTGGCGGGAAGGAAATGGAAAGGAGAGAGGGGCACTGGGTAACCAAGTAGATACAGGAGACCAGGGAAAGGGAGGCGCTGACTACAACCAGACTGGGTGTCTGGCAGATGACAAGAAAGTAGAATGGGGGTACACTCACCGAATGTGGGAGGCGAATGMGTTTCGCATTTCAGGAGGTTGGGGGAGTGTGGGACAAGTCCCTTTCCCTCTCTCTGGCCTCAATTTTCCTATCAGAGCACTGGTGGGGGTKGGGCTGGATGGCCTTGAATGTCCCTTCTATTTCAGGGACATTTGAGGGTGGGGCTCAAAGATGTAAATTTGTTGGGTTTTTTTTTGGGGGGGGGAGGGATAGGGATCCCTGTGCGTGAGGTCTCTGGGAGTGGTCTCCCTCCGTGCTGGGTCCTGGTGGAGAGGGTGTGCGTGCACATCCATATCTGGGGTGCATCTGCCTGTTTGTGGGCCCCGTGGGTGGCTGGCGTGCCTGCACGTGCCGGGCAGCTCTGCTTTGTGTGAGTGTGTGAGCAGGAGCTGGAGAGCGTGGGTGTGCACGTGATGGGCGTCCGTGGGTCTGTCTGGGCGAGTGGTGATGGAGGTGGGGGCTGGTGGGGTGCGCCTCCCCTTTAGGCTTCTTCCTGAGGCTCACACACTCCGCCTGCTCTCACTGTTCTGAAATAGCATCTGGACTGAAGGCCCATGAATATTTCACAACGATAATTTTGTGACCTGGACAGCCTGCCTCTGATTTACCAGCATCCCCCTCCCCCTGCCCAGGCCAGCAGCCCCTCCTCCATCAGAGCTCTTGCCTGCTCCCCCCACCCCCCAACTCACAGGCTTTCTCAAAGCCTGCTGACTCAGGCCCCTGCAAGACCCTCGACTCAGCTCTGTGGGTCCCTGACCTCACTGTGCCCCGGCCCACATCGTGCCCTTCTGCAGAGCCTACCTGCCTGAGGCCTACCATGCCATGCCGGCTTCCACCTCCTCTTCTCACCATCCTCTGACCTCCACAGCTAGAGACACAGAATCTCAACATCCTGCCTGGAGCCCTACCACCTCTGGGTCCCTTCTGGCTCTCTGTTCCCACCTCCCAGCTAGATTCTTAACCCCAATTCAAACCACCAAGCTTCAATCACTTCTGTCTGAGACTCAGTCCTAACACTCTCAGTCTCAACCCCTTCTTAGCCTAGGCTGACTCCTGTCTCAGGCTCTCCTCCATACACCAGAAAGATGAAGCTTCTGATTCCACCACCAGATCCCACCTTGGGATTCCTGTCCCTCTTGACTACCCAGCCTCTTGACCTTTCTTCTAGCTTGCTTGGAGAACCTTCTCTGATGTGGTCCATCCATGAGAGCTTCTAGCTCACYGGAAGTCAGGGAGAGAGGCTGCTTTTGCTGTGTACAGTTCTGCAGGCTGTACACTGCACAAGGGCACTCAGCCAAGGGGACAAATATGAGCTGAAATCCAGCCCYGGGCTCCTCTTCCTAAGGTGTTTGCTCTAGCTTAGAACTGTGTATCCCCTGGGGAAGAGGTGCCTTTCCCAGATTTGCTTAAAGCCATGTTTGGGCTGGTGGTGACCATGGATGTCTTCCCCGCCCCCCCCCYCCTTGCAGGAAAAGGAGACTTTAGCCAGGCTGGAGACAACTCAGGGTTGGTTGTTGCTGCTTCTCCTGGACAAAAGAGAGGAGATGCCATCAGCACCCACTCTGGGCTGTAACTTCACCTCCCTGGGACTCAGTGCTACACAAATCTTTCCCAGGCTTCAACTTCTCAAAGGGAGAGATCACACACCAGCTCCCACCAGCAGGAAGCTCTTTGATGGCACAAGGTGGTTCTTTTTCTCTAGCCCTCCAGTCCTGAAATCCTTACGGTTCTCAGCCCTCATCCYACTTTTGAGATCCTGAGCTCCCCCACTCCCCAGAAAAAAAAAATCTTACAGGAGATAAAATAATAGAATTTTTTAATAAATTTTTTTTTCCCAAACAACTTCTTTTGATCTTCACCACACAGGGGCCATGGTGGAGAGGAAAGCTCTCCCCAGGCGCCCTAAAAATTGTCCAGGGTAGACTTAGGAGAAAGTGTTCCCCCAGTGTCAGGAGGTCGAGGGGACGAGGATCAGCAGGGGCCCGCACTGAGGCATCCCTCCGAAGGGTGCTGGGTGGGGCTCCCCTGGGGGAGCTTCCAAAGGCTCTGCTGGTGGAAGATGCTCTGCGGACAAAAGCCCCTCTCGAGTCCACTGCGGGCCCCGGAGAGGGCGGCCAGCGGCTGCCTGGGGTGCCCCACCCCAGCCTCGGGATGGGRAAGAAGAGTTAATGGCTAGAATTAGGGCGAACAGGGCTGAGCCGCCACACACCCTGCCACAGTCAGAGCAGCCAGAAGGCCAGGAGCGACAGCCTGGTCCAGAGGAGGCGGGGAGCCGCGAGGGGACCGGAAGGCGGCAGGGCCTGGCGGGGTGGGGTGGGCAGGGACGGGGTCCGGGCCGCGGCTCGGGGGGAGGGGCCTGAACCCCGGCCTCTTCAGTCTCAGCACCGCAGTCAGAGGTGATGGGGCGCCAGCAGCAAGAGGCAAAGCAGGGGGCTGGGGAGCCCGGCCGCCAGCGCGGGGCCGCGGGAGTCCGGGGGCGCCTGGCAAGCAGCCCCGGGGCACGTCTGCTCCCCGCGCTGGTCCTCGCCCCCGTAGCCCACCCAGTAGTCGTCCTCGGTGGGCGCGTCTCCGCCCTGGCGGCCCCGCGAGTCCTCGGCGGGCAGGTCTCGGTAGAGCGTGGAGGGGTCGGCGGGGGGCGCCCCGGCCTCGGCCACCCCGTACAGGTGGTTGGAGGAGCTGTTGCCGCGGGCGCGGCTGCCGGGCCGCGTGGGCGCGGCGGGCGGACACGCCTGGAAGTCGGCCTCGCGCAGCGCGCGCAGGTCTCGGCCCTGGCGCTCCGGGGGCGTGGCGCAGGTCACGTCGGAGCTGGACACGCGCGCGCGCTGGAACCAGGCCCAGAGCGGCCGCGCGCGGCAGTCGCACGCCCAGGGGTTGGCGTTGAGCCGCAGGAACTCGAGCGCCGGCAGGTCGGCGAGCGCCTCGCCCGGCAGCGAGGCCAGGCTGTTGTTGAACAGGTAGAGGATGGTGAGGCGGCTGAGGCCGCGGAAGGCCGCGCGGTGCACGCCCTGCAGCCGGTTCCCGTGCAGGAGCAGCCGGTCCAGGCTGCCCAGGCCGCGGAACACGTGCTCTGTGAGCAGCCGCAGGCGGTTGCCGTGGAGGAAGAGGTGGCTCAGGTTGGCCAGGTCCGCGAACAGGTCATCCTGGGTGGGGACGGGAATAGAAGAGAGTGGTCCTGAGCGAGGTGGGGACCCGGGTGAGGGAAGGAGCGGAGCACTGTGGCAGAGTGGAAAGGGTTGGACCTTTGGGTTCGGAGTCCGGGATTGGAACTCTGCCTCTTCTAACCTATTTGCAGCGGAAAAAGCGGGAACGTTGAGGTCAGCGGCTCTTACCCTTAGGGTGTATCCCTTGCAGATCCCCGAACGCCGCCCCGGGCTTCCCATCTGGCAGGTCTGGGGCTCTGGGTGCTTGCTGCCTGGGAATCTGTCTATCCTGACAGGTTCCCAGGCGAGGCTGATGAGGCTGTTGGAGGACCACACTTGGAGAATGGGCATCTCTGGTTTGGTTAAGTTTGCAGACAGCGAACCAGACTTTCTGTTCAAATCCTGGATCAGTCCCTAAGTGACTCTGCCACCTTATACTAGTCACTCGGTATCCCTGTGCCTCAGTTTCCTCATCTGTAACGTTTGGACTAAATGAAGCAGAGCACTTTAGGGTGTTTGGAAAACTGTTTCCCCCTTGATAGACTTTCTCTGCGTTAGTTATTATCGTCAACCTGGCCAAGTCTGCAATGTCTCCATACCTGTCTCCTCTTCTGTAAAGTGGAGATGAGTGACCCCACCTGGTGAGTTTGTTCTGAGGATCAAACAAGACTGTTCAGATGAAGTTCATATGAGCCCAAGGCTGAGCACAGTGCCTGTACCCAGGGACTCAGTCCAGGGAGGAAGGAGCCCACAGGCTCAGGAGTTAGAGCCCTGGTTCTGAACCCAGCTTGCCTTTCTCCTGGCTGCGTTATTTTGGACGAGTTATTTAACCCCATCAAGACTCAGTTTCCTCAATATGCAAATCAGGGAGAAAAATTCTCAGTGGACTGAGGGCTAAAGTTACCTCACTGCTGAGGACCAGTACCTGGCAGGTATGTCAYGGAACACCATCAGTAACTGATGGTTATCAGGGAAGTAGGGCTAGGCCGGGTGATTCAGGGGACCAGGGATCAGCTCCACCCCACCTCCACTAGGGGAAGCAGGGGAAGGGAAGAAAGAGTTGCTTCCCCTGCACCTCGACCCCTTAGAGAAGCTGTCCCACCTGCCTGGGGGTGGGGGAGTCAGGTGAGTGCTGGAAAGGACCTTGGAATTCAGAATTTAGTTCACAATTAACAGGTGTGGGTGTGATCCACGGTGGGGGTGGGGACCATTTTAACCCCCTCATCAGGGAATTCTGAGGATCAGCGTATCTGGGAGCTAGTATTTTAAGATTCCCCCAGCACAACCCACTTTTTACAGGGGAGGGCACCAAGGTGCACAGAGATGAAGGGCTCATTGGAGAAGCAGCTAGAACCCCAGTCCCCTRACCCCACAGCCTTGAGGTCCTGCCAGCATCAGCATCACTGTGGTTAGCAGGTCCCAGCAGGTCTGCTTCTCTCGGGGACAGGAGCATCCTCCCTTCTCATGACAGCTCAGCTGGGGTCCTGGTCCCTGACTGTGGCTGTCCTCCCTCGACTGCCTGGGGAGGACATCCCCTGTCCACACCACCCAGGAGCCCGGTGGGAGGCCTCAGGTGGGGGAGGGCACTGCCTCCCAGCCCCCACCCCCAGCTCCACYTCCCTGCTCCTGCGCCTTCTCACCCCCTCCCATCTGGCTTCCGCCCTCTCTGCCACAGGAACTGAGCCTGCCAAGAGCCCTCCTCTTGGCCACATTGAGATCCGTCCCCCTCAACCTTCTCGCTGCCTYAGACACCAGCGTTCTCCGCCCGCTGATGCCACTGCCCAGCCCCAGTCCCCATTGGGGTCCTCAGCTGGCTCCTRCAGCTGCCTAGCTCCAGCCTTGCTTGTCCCCTGTCCTCCTCCAGAGTGGACTCGGAATGTCTTCCCCTCACTTATTTAGGGTTTCTCTTTTTCATGGAGCGTCAGCAACACTAGGACACACCCAGAGATGTATGGTCAGAGGATCAATATGGGAGCGGGCAGGGGAGGAGCAGGGGTAATCAGCACTTTGGGGACTTGGGAAGGTCAGGCAGGGAAGACCATGTGTTCAGGGACCACAGTCCTGATTTCCCATTCCAGGCTCTTCTCTCTGCACAGTCCTGCCCTCCCCTCCCTGAGCCTCAGCCCTGGGGTCCATCCCCCCTTCCCCCATCCAAGCTGTTGCCAAATCCCGTTGCCACTTCCTCAGGCTGCRGCTCTCAAATCCGGTCCTTCCTCTCTCCACCGTTAAAACGGTTCTCTGTGCATTAATAAGCTCTTGACTTTCACAGCCCAGGCCCTCCCCCATCACCCTCTCCATCGCCCCTCCCTCTGGGCTGAGAGTGTCTGCTCAAGTCATCCTCTTCCATTTCAAAAACCACATTTCCCTCACCTCCTCACTGGCCAGTTCACAGCTTTCTGCATCCATTTGGAATCTTAAGGCAGGATCCCTGCCCCCTCCCTTTCCTGGACAGCCTTCCCTGTTCTTAACCTTGCTTCCCTCCAGCCTTCCAGCTCCTGGCACTAATCACATTAGCTGCTAGGCTGTGTGACCTTGGATAGCTCCAGGCACCTCTCTGGGCCTTAGTTGTTTTCTTTTCTTTCTTTCTTTCTTTCTTTCTTTCTTTTTTTTTTTTTTCATCTGAAACAAATGACTTTCAGGGTAGTTGATCTTTACGGTCCCATTCTCATCTGCTATTTATGAGTTGGCGAGTCCTGAAATGTACCTCACTCATTCAGCAAAGCTGTTTTGAGTGCCTCCTCTGTGCCAGGCACCCCCGCTCATGGTGCTCACCAGTCTATGGTGGGCATCATCGTCATCGTCGGCGTCAGCAGCCTCAGGCAGATGAGTTGCTGAGCTCCCGCCGTGTGCCRGGCTCTGTGCTGCACATAGCCTAGGTAGTAACTGCACCACCACAACCTTGTGAGGCGGAGACAATGATCACCTCCACTTCACAGGCTAGGAGAGGGAGGCTCAGAGACGGAAGCCACTTGCCCAGAGCCCAACAGCTCACATTAAGTGTCCGTGGACGTGAACTCCTGGGATGGGGCTCTGAACAACTGCACTCTGGGGCTGGGCAGACCTGGGCCAATTCTAGACGGTGTCCCTTGCCACTGGTGACCTGAGACTGGTGCCTTGGTTTTGCTGAGGCTCCGTGGGTGTCCTTGCTGCCAACAGTTGGATGAAAGCTACTATTCAACGAATACTCATGCTGGGCCAGACCTCAGCCTGAGCCCCTTGAAAGTAGTCTCTTGCCTTTAATCATCACCACACCTCTCCCACCTCAGGGGGGTTCAGAGTGGTTAAGTAACTTACCCCAAAGCACTCAGCAAATGGGAAGTGAGGCTGGGATTGATTCAAACTCAGACTTGCCTGAGTGCAAAGATGGCTCTTAAGCACTACGCAGGCTRCTGCTATGGCTGAAAGAATGAGGTCTGGGAAGTGGCTCGATGGTAGAGCGCTTGCCTAGCCACTGCRTGAGGCCCCAGGTTCAATTCCCAGCACCCCTTCTCCCCCCTACACACAGAGAAAGGAAGAATAAACTCTTATCGTTTTCTGGCTACCCTCCCACAGGAAATAGTCTCCAGCAGAGCAGGGACWTTGTTTTGTTCACTCCTCAAATCCCTGGCACCCCTGCACACTGCCTGGCATGTAGTAGGTGCTCAGTAAATATCTGTTGTTGAATGAACTCCTCTGGCTCCTTGCCTGGCCCACAGCAGACCATCTGTGAGTTCCTCCACCCCACCCCATTTCCGTGTCTACCTGCCACATCCTGAAAAGCTGTGGTCCCCTTTGGTAGCCTCCTCCAAGCCTCCCTTCTCGGGTAGGCCCAGCTCCATCTTGGGTCACACCTGCCCCTGTGGATCTCACCTCAGCCCACGGGTTTCCTCACCTGCCTGTGGCATCTCCCAGCCTAGTTCCACCAGGCAGGCAGGTCACAGGCAGAGGCTGTGTCTTTCTGCCTCTATAAAGGGCCAGGTGTGAAGTGCTTCCTTCCCATGATGCCCTGTACCCTGCATGCCAGGGATGTGCAGGACAAGTGCTCTCCCCAGTGCCACCTGGGGTCCCCTCTGTCTGGGCCTCTGCTGACCCCAGGCCCGGACTACTGTCTTGTCCTGCAACTCCGTGGAGGATCRTTCGTATTAACCTAATTTATTCAGCACTACACTATGTTTTACGGACACTCACTCCTTTACTCAGTCCATCCACTCTTGGTGGAAGGTATTGTTTTTCTTATTCCCAGTGTACAGATGAGGAAACTGAGGTTCAGAGAGGGGAAACAACTCGTCTGAGGTTAGGCAATGAACAACTCRTATGTATGAATAAGGAAGGAGACGGGGAGCTCTGCAGGAGTGGTTGAGTACCAGGAGTAGCAGGAGTAATGAAAATACAGGTTGAGCACCCTCATCAGAAARTCTAAACTCAGAAATGCTACGAAATCTGGAAAATGCCACACCATGAAACTTTGTTCCTGGTGGGTGTGACAGTGCACACCTGCAATCCCAGAGAAGGTCAGGCAAGAGGATTTCAAGTTCCCGGCACCGGCCTGGGTAACTTAGAGAGACCCTGTCTCAAAATAAATCAATCAAAAGGGCTGCAGCTCTAGCTCAGTGGTAGAGCGCCCGTGGGTTCAATCCCACAAAACAAAACAAAACAAATTTTGTTTCATGTGCAAATTTATTTAAATGTTGTATAAAATTACCTTCAGCTTATGTGTATAGGCATATATGAAACGTAAATGAATTTTGTGCTCAGACTCTGGTCCCATCCCCAAGATATCTCATTATGTATATGCAAATAGTCCCAAATCCAAAACAGTTGAAATCTGAACCGCTCCTGGTCCCCAAGCAATTTGGATACAGGGTGCTCAACCTGTAGTGAAAAGGACARTACCTTTGGCGGGTGGCTCTGCGCTGACGCTGACGACTTCCACTTCATCCTCACAAAACTGAGATAAGTAGTAGGTACTGTCCTGACTGCCAACTTAGAAGCAGGGAAATGGTGACTGAGAGGTGAGGGGATTTGTCCAAAGTCATTTATCAGCCGGGACTGGAACGTGGGTTTGGCACACTCCAAAGTGCGGGTTTTTCCTTTTTTTGGGGGGGGGCGGGGTGGTGGTACCAGGAATTGAACTCAGGGGCACTCAACCACTGGCCACATCCCTAGCTCTATTTTGCATTTTATTTAGAGACAGGGGCTCACTGAGTTGCTTAGCACCTGCTTTTGCTGAGGCTGGCTTTGAACTTGCCAYCCTCCWGCCTCAGCCTCCGCTGGAATCACAGGCGTGCGCCACTGTGTCCAGCATTGTGTGGGTTTTCAAAAACAAGCCCACCCAACTGTACTTTGGGGTACCGTCCCCCTGAAGTGCAGTCAGACTGTACAGGCTCAAGTGGCAACTCCTCTGACTGTGTGGCCTCAGGAAGTTCCATCCCCCGTCCCCTGTGTCCCTAACTGTCCCTGTGGTCAGGCGGCTGTAAAGCTAGTGTGATGGTGAGAACAGCTAGCCCCCAGTCACAAGGACCGTGGCTAAGAGATTTGTGTTTAGAGGTGGTTACATCTCTACAAAGTCCTGGGGACCCCTGGCCTCCGCTTTGTCGCTGTTAACAGTGAGGTGRGGGCTGGGGCTGTAGCTCAGGGGCAGAGCACTTGCCTGGCACGTGGGAGGCCCTGGGTTGGGTCCTCAGCACCWCATAAAAATAAACGAATATAATAAAGGCATTCTGTCCCTCCACCACTACAAACAATTAAAATGAAACAGTGAAGACMAGCCCCCGACAGGGTGGTGGGAGTGAGCTGCGGTGGTCAGGAGCKCCTTGTAAACCTCGTGGTTCTGGGAAACATTAGGAAGGAGAAGGAGGGGGTGTTCTGGAACCCACCCACGGCCTTAGTCTAGTCCTTGACTTTGACCTAAATCCCCAGCATGAGGTTCAGGTTGGGGCACTTCACCAAGACCAGTGTTAAATAAGGCTCCTTCCTCTTTCTTAAAATAGTATTTTCACAAGCATTTATATAGTGCTTACAGTATGCCAAGCACTATTCTAAGTGCCTTACAAATTATTCATGCATTTAATTCTTATGAAATCCCTAGGAGATGGGTGCTTGTGCTCCCCCTGATTTACAGGTGGGAAAACTGAGGCCCAGGTTGAACTACGTTACCCTCTTGTGAATGGCAGGGTCGACCGGGGTCAAGTGCTCGCCCTCTGAGTGCCGACGGCTGCTCATGGTTTCCGCACTAGCACAGGCCATTTTCCCAGCACACTATGCATTTKACTTCTCTTCCTCCCCATAAAAATGCTCTCTCTGTGAAGGCAGGGACTGTTCCGTCCACCACGGAACAGTGTGGTGTTCTCAGCACCTAGCACACTGTGGGCACTTTTGGCAAATGCTTGTTAGATGATTATCGCAATGGCTATTATCAGGAGCCTCAGCGAGGCAGACCTGGTTTTCCAGCCAGCAGACTGGTGACTATCTAGCGCCAGCCCTGGGGTGGGAGGGGGAGGTGCCTGCCAGGCTTAAGTGGGGAGGGGGAGAAGTGGGGTACCTTGTCCCCTTCCAGCCAGAGGCTGCATAGCCAGGGAAGGTTTCCTTCTCCTGTGGTTTGGAGGGTGTGTGATTGCTTCCCAGGGAAACAGACCCAGAGGACSTGACTGTCAGGCGCTCAGCATAACAACAACAATAAACAACAATTAGATCAATAATAATAACAATAAATAACAATTGCTGTTACTCCTTCAKCTTTCAGGGCCTCCTTTTCCTGCTGGGTAAAAGTGTCGCAGTGTTTTTTACCCTTTGTTCTGTCCTCCCTTGCACGGAGAGGAAAGGGGTGGAAATAGAAAGCCAGAGAGAGAGGGCAGGGCAGGTCCATGTCCTATTATCCAGGGAGCTGGACAGAGTGGGCCCTTCCCTGGGACCTCAGAGCAGTGCTCTGCCCTCTGGCCCCACTTGCCTGTGCTGTGGGAGGACCTGGGGGTGGATGAGAAGAGCAGCCACAGAGCCCTTTGGGCTGGGGTGCCTGGCGCCAGGCACCGTCCCCTGAAGGCAAACGCGGGGAAAGCAGAGATCACAGAAAGACACATCCACAGACAGACATGGGGGAGTGTGCAGAGTGGGTGTGTGAAGGGAGACAGACAGAAGAGGCAGAGGCAGACAGATGGGGRAGGCAAGTCAGGGAAAGAGGCAGAGAGGGCCGGGAAGGGACAGGCAAAGGCAGGTGAAGACAGGTGGGGGTGGGGAGCTAGAGGGGCACACAGGGACCCACACTGGGGCAGGCAGACAGAGGAGAGGAAAGACCCTGAGAATGTGAGGGGCACAGAAACTTAGAACAGGGGCAGAGAAAGAGAGCCGTGGAGACTGTGAGGCAGGAAGTGGCCTGGAGAGAGGAGGGACAGGAGGCCCCGGGACAGGGCTGGGGGGTGGGGGGCGCTCACCTGGAGGTGGAGCAGGCTGTTCTCCTGGAGGTAGAGGTACTGCAGGCTGACCAGGCCGCGGAAGATGTTCCCGGGCAGGCTGCTGAGCTGGCAGCGGTACAGATGCAGCGACTGCAGCCGCTCCAGGCCCTGGAAGGTGTCAGGCTCCAGGGAGCGCAGGTGCCGGTTGTCACCGAGGTCCAGCTCCTCCAGGGCCTGCAGGTGGCGGAAGGTGCCCGGGTAGATGGTGGAGAGGTTGTTGGAGAAGAGCCACAGGGTGAGCAGGTTGGGCCCGAAGGTGCCGGGCCGCAGAGTGCGGATGAGGTTGTTCTGGAGGAAGAGTCGCTGCGTGCTGGGCGGCAGGGACAGCGGCACCGAGGAGAAGTTGTTGGCCTGGCAGCTCACGGTGGGCGGCGACGAGTAGCAGGTACAGAGCATGGGGCAGCTGGGGGCTGCGGGGGGCAGGGCCAGGAGCAGCAGCAGCAGGCAGGCTGAGGCGGGACCTGAGGGGAGAGGCCAGTGAGGGCTGGCTGGAGGCCCAGGGGCCGTGCCCACCCGCCCAAGAYGGGTCTCTGCACAGGATGTCAGGCAGGGGCTTCTGGATGCCCCTCAGAGTCTGCAGAAGCCTGGCCGCTTCATTCTTGAGGCTCCTTTGAGGCTTGCAAACTTTTATTTGTTTGTTTGTTTAYTTATTTATTTATTGATTGATTGGCACTGGGGATTCAACCCAAGGTGCTCTACCACTGAGCTGCACCCCCGTCCCTTTTCATTTTTTAAAATTATTGTTTTAGCTGGGTGCGGTGTCGCGCACCTGTAATCCCAGTGACTTGGGAGGCTGAGACAGGAGGATTGCAGTTCAAAGTCAACCTCAGCAACTTAGTGAGGCCCTATGCAACTTAGTGAGGCCCTGTCTCTAAATAAAATATAAAAAGGGCTGGGGATGTGGCTCAGTGGTTGAGTGGACCCAAAGGGTTTCAATCCCCATTACTATATATATATATATGTGTGTGTGTGTGTGTGTGTGTGTGTGTGTAATTTTGAGACAGGGTCTGGCTAAGTTGCCTAGGCTGGCCTCAAACTTGCAATCTTCCTATCTCCGCCTCCAGCATAGCTAGGATTCTAGGTGTGTGTGCCACCCGGTAAGGCTGTGAATCTTCTTTTTGAGGTCTATTAAAACATAACACCAAGAGGCATTGTAGGAAGCACCTCCGTGCATATAAAGTTGTTGGATGATCACATGTCTTTTCATTCTAGTCTGCTTTCACCGCCGCATGTTTGACCTTGTTGAGAGACTAATGTCAAAAGACTAACTGAGAGCTGCGCCACCCCAGGGTCCACAGTGGGCCGGGAGTCCTTTGTTGTGGGGGCAGTCCTATGTAGGGTGTTCAGCAGTCGCTCTGTCTTCTATCCACTAGATGCCAGCAGCACCCTGCCCCCAGTTGTGACAACCGAAATGTCTCCAGACACTGCCAAATGTCCCCTGGGGAGAAAAACCAACCCACTTGAGAATGACTAGAACTAACTGAAGACTCTGTGAGTCTAAGGCCTGTGCACAGCGTTCCTGAGGCCCAGCCTTGCTGAACCCAGTGACCAAAGTCCTCCCTCACCTTCCTGCTGTTTTACCTGGGAGGAAGCAGAGCCTCTACACTCCAGGAGGGACCGTAGGGACCAGTGGGTCTACCCAGGGCCACCAGGCACATGCACCAGGATCAGCTGTCCTCCCCAAAAGAATGCAGAATCCAAACTCTGAGCGTGGCAGCCCGGAAATCTGCGTTCTGCATCTTGGGCTCTTCTCGTTCAAAGTCACTTTAAAAAGTTTTAATTTTTTTTTTCCTAAAGTAACGTTTGAAGATGGGGTATGGTCCACCCTTCTTACCGTGTAGACAGAGAAGGAGATGCATGGAGTTAGCCTGAGGACTGGAGGGTCCAGTGCAGGGGCCTGTGTTTCTGGGCTCCAGCAAGGCCAGGCAGGCCCCTCCACCCCTGTCCACCGGCAGGAACTAGAGCACATTAAAGTTCTGGCTAGAGCCAGCTTGACCTCTCCCCTGCATGTGCTTCCCACAGATAGCTCCTGGGATTTTCTTCTGGCAGCCTTGCCTGGAGAGAGGACAGCCCAGCCTCCCACAGCCAGGCCCCAGTCCCTGGGCCACAGCAACCGAGCACCCTTGGCTTCAAGCAGTGTCCCAGGCCTTCAAAGGCTCAGGGGAGGCAGACTTGGTTCTTGGGCCCAAGGACCTGAGATCCTGGGGCTCTGTGTGGATCCAGAGACCCAGGAGAGGCTCAGGGGTGGGTGACTGAGGGTGAGGCCTCCAGGGCTGTGAACTGCACACCCAGGAGGTTGTTTTGTGCCGATGTCACCCTCCTGGAGGTGGCTGTGTGTGGATGCGTGCATGTGYGTGTGCTTCTGGGAAACCGGGAGCCAGGTGCTTACTACGTGAAGTGCTGGGAGCCAGGTGTTCGCACATGGCACCGGCAGGCCCCGAATATGGCCTTGCCGTCACAGGTGCTGGGGGGTCTCCTCCCCAGGGCAGCACACTGGCGCCGATTCGGGGACCCCATGCCCAGCACCTGGTGGTCCTGGCTGCTGGCTCTCGGGGGGCCTCCCAGCACCAACCCAGGAACCCAGGCCCCATGGCCCTGTCCCGGGCCCCTCCCTGCGCTGTGCGGTGGGTGCGTGCGAGCGTGCGCTGGCTGTCCCCCGCGTGTGTGTGAGTGCCGGGCCCCGTGCGTGTGTAGGCTGGGTGTGATGTAATACTCAGTGACACAGCGCGGCTGTTCCATTCGTTCACACCACCTCCGCGTTTCTCGGCCCTTCTCACCCCTCCCCCGTGCGGCGTTTCACGATTACTTTCTCCTCCCGAGTTTTTCAAAGCCACGTGGGGCGGAGGAGCATGTCTCTCACCCCTCATSTGTACCAGGCAGGGGTGGGGTGTGGGAGCACTATGGGGGACCCACGGTAGGTTTCCTGAGCGCTGAGGTTTAGGGCTTCAAACTGGACATTTTCAGAGCTGCCTAAGTCCTCCAGGTTCATCTGGTACGATCATTTGTTCCACAGAGGTGACAGCTGGGGCTCAGAGAGGGCAAGCAACTTGCCCAAGGTCACACAGAAGAGTGGTGCCAGGCAAGGATCAGAATAAAGGATTCTCCTGATGCCCAGCCAGGACACTTCCTTTCCTGTCAGTTACCCTCTGAGCTCTGCCTCCCCAAGGACTCGACACCAAAGGAAACCCAATCCTTTTCTGATCCCTTAATCCCACCCCTTATCCACAAGCTCACAAGAATGTGAGCCCTAGTGGCCACCAGCTCTCTGGGGGATGACGGAGCTCTTCCTCCAGCCTCTGGGACTAACTGCTATCYCAGGAGAGACTGACGGAAGGAAGGATGTGCACACCCAAATGACCCCGGGGTCGGTTCCTCCTCCTGCAGGCACCAGGTGTCTTCCAGAGTTGAGTCCCGCTRGGCAGGGACTGGCAAGGGCCCTACTCACCCTTAGTATCCAGCCTTCCCTGCTCTCTCTGGAGGCTCTCCTCTCTTCCTACAGCCTCCCTGTTGTCCCCAGGCCTCCCCCCACCACCGCCCACCTCCCCCAGCCTGCGATGGTATTCCCTGCAGGTTCCTTGAGGAGGGACCCTGAGCTGGGGGCCCCTCCGTGACAGCTGCTGCGTAACAGTGACTCTGTTGCCATTTCTGGCCCTCGCTGCTGCTGCCGCCATGCCAAGCAGCGTAACCCAAGGAGCCTCATCCATAATTCAGGCTGCGGCGCTCACTGGAGGCGAGGAGGAGGAGGGGAAGGTGGGGGGCTCCGGGTCCCTCTGCCCCAGGCTGGGCTGGAGGGGGCACTCGGGGCAGAGCTGGGGGCTGCCTCCCACCCCTGTCCTGCCCAGGGTGGGCCTCTGCCTTCCCTCCCCGCCCCTGATTCTCCCGCCTCTTCCCCAAGACCCTTCCCTCAGGCCCTGCCTCCTCCCTGCTGCCTCTTCTCTGAGGACCACGGCTCCACTCCTGGCCCCCATTTTGTGGATCCCTGGCAGAGTCGGGGCTGAGATGCACAGTGTGTTGGGCTGGAAGGGGGGATACCTGGCAGCCCTCCAGAGCAAACCCCCACCCCCATTTCACAGTTGAAGGCTGGGGAGGGAAAGGGCTGGTTCAGAGAGGGCAGCCCAGGCCTTCATGTCGCCCTGCCACCTTACACACAGAGGAAAGCCCTCTCTCACTGTCCCCTTCACCCTCTGCTCACGGCGCCCCCTATAGGCAGGTGAGCCTGAGCTGCAGGGGAGCGTGGAGCAGGGAAGGGAGGGAGCCATCTGATGCGAAGCCCCTACTGTGTTCCGGACACTGTGCTTGTATGTGCTGACTTCTTTCCCCAAAGGATGCAACCCGACACAGTCCCCTGTGAGGCCRATGCTGCCAGGACCCCCAGCTCGAAGAAGGAGGGGCCTCAGGTCATGCAGTTAGTACAGCCCCCCCACACACACACTCCAAGGCAGGGTGTCAAACCCATGTTAGGACAGACTCCCTGACCTCTCTCTAGGAGCCCCCTCCCTCAATAGTTTCCACAGAAACCAGCCCTGGGTAGGAGAGACGATGCCCTTGAGGGACAGGGAGGACAGAGGCTGGGCCCAGGTGCCCAGGTCTGGACCGGTCATAATGTTGGCTGTTTGGCTGTTTAGGGTCAAGGCAAGGAAGGGGCCCAGGCTCTTTGGAGTTTTTTCTCCTGGGCTCCTAGCCGTGGTTGTTTTAGGGGACCACCCATGTGGGAGTCAAGAAGTGATGACCATTGTCCAGAGATAAGGCCAGAACTGTCCAGCAAGGAAAGCAGAGGAAGGCCAGAACACGGTTATTGATCCTGAGGTGCCCAAGCCAAAAAGTATCCGTTCACTTAGGGGCCGTTGTCAAGGACTCTGGGCTTTCTAACCTGGGATGCCTAGGCTCTGAGACAGGGTTCCCGCCTGGGCCGTCCTTTAGGCCAGAGGCCCTCGTGCAGGAACTTAAGGAGCAGGCAGGTGGACCTGGGTGGAGGGCAGGAGCCAGGGTGCCAATGCCCGGTTGTCTGCACAGAGTGGTCCCAGGAAACAGGCAGGCCTCTGGCTCTGGGAGGAGTGGCACGGGGTCAGGACGGAAGCCCCATCTCCACACCCAACAGGCTGCTTTCGGGAAAGGCTAGGCCTGCCATGCCGATGCCCAGGGGGCAGGGTCCCAAGAGGTAGAGACTGGGAGTAGGATGGAGGTGGGGTGATGCCAGGGAAGGGCCTGGGGAGGCACTGATGCCTCTGGTGACTGGAGGTTGAAAGCTGCTGCAAACAGCTTCTCACTCTGTCAGAATGTAACACCCCAAAATAAGCAGCCACTGTCAGTGGCAGCATGCGACGTCGGGGCTCGGAGATATAAATGGCAGCACCAAGCCTGCTCGGGTGCCCACCCTAGGAGGCTGCCTCCCCGCTGGGAGGTCCTTACCGGGTCTTCCTCACAGCTGCCCCCAGCCCCTGAGCTCAGTCCTGGGTCTGGCCCACCAGCCACTCCCTGATAGAAGGGATGTGTGACAGGCAGGCTCTTTGGGAATGGAGGGCTTCCACGTGGAAGTGGTTTCCAGAGCCTCTTTGTCTCATCCCTGGGCAGCCACCCCCTCCCGCTGGGCCCTCTCTCCCACCCCTTTCTTTTCCTTCTCCTCTTCCCTCTCCAGCCCCTCTCTGCATCCAGATCTACCCCAGCCCCTCTCCCATCTACAGTTTCCGGTTGGTCCCCAAGCCTGGAGCTCATCCTTGACCATCTTCCCCTGGTTCTGACATCCCATCCCTATCCACTGTCTCCAGCGTGATCACGTTTCTGATCTTCCCATTCCCATTCCCATTCCGGTTTCCAGGGCACCAGTCCTCATTCTTTTTCCGTTATCTCCACCCCTGATTCTAGGTGCCTGTCCATAGTGTTCTCTTCACCTCTTGCCCTGTTCTGGTCTCCCCTGCCCTTCCTCTTCCTCGGTCTTGCTCTGGATCTCTGGTCCTTGGAAGCTCTCCCCTCTAACCTTTATTCCTCCTCTTTTCTCTCCCCCATTCCCTCCTCTCCCCCGACTTCCCTAACCACTTTTCTCCATCTTTGACTTTCCTTCCCTAGCCTTCCCCCTCGGACCCCTTCCCCACCCCACCCCCAATCTCCGGTCCACACCCTTGCCTGTCACTCAAACCACGGAACTGTCCTCTTTCTAGCCCGTCCATCTGTCCTACCAGGGAGGGCCCTTGGGGATTCCCTCTGCGCCCCCCTTCCCAGGCAGCCCCCTACCCACATCGCTCGTCCTCCCAGGTGACTGGAAAGTGCTGAGGCACCGGGCACGAGTTGCTGAGTCGGCGCTTCCCCAGCCGCCCGAGTCCTCAGCGTTCCGGGAGCAGGTGGAGCCGGGACAGCGGAACCTGAGCCTCCCTCCCCGCCTCGGCCCGGCGCGCTTGCCCCTCGCGTCCGCTCTCGGTCACGAGCTCCGGGCACACTCCGGCAGCCTCCGAGCCGGGTGCCTCCTCCTGCGGGCAGTCTCCGGGACGGAGGCGCGGCCGGGGCCGGGAGCTCTTCCCCCTCCCAGAGCCACCCACTGCCCCACCCTCGCGCCCGGGAGAGGGGCGTCCGGCTCGCCTCTCCAGGATAACCCTGCTCTCCCGCCGGCGGGGGACCCTACCTTGCAGCAGGCGCCTGAGCCCGGGCAGCATCTTGTCTCGACGCTCGGGGGAGGGGCGGCGGGGGGAGGGCGCTCCCACTCGCTCCCTGAGCCCGCCGGACGGACGGCGGGGACTCCGCGGGGCTCCGGGGGGGCCCGGGAGTCCCGAGGCTGCGTGGCCCGGCCGCGGCGCTCTACCCTGCGCCCCCCGGGCTGCGGGCCTCGGGAGGAGCCATCGGCCCCGACGGGACGGGGCGGGGCACGACGGGCTGCGGAGGGCTGGGGCTGGCCCGCGACGCTCTGTGCCCGCACCCTCCCAGCCGCGCGGCTGGCACCGGGGCCCGTCAGTCCGGCGGTCCGCGCGCCCCAGCTGCTCGCCGAGGGAGAGTGGGGACAGCGAAGAAGCGCTTCCCAACCACCCTCCTCGCCTTCCCGCACTCGCAGGCTCCTCCCTCGCCGCCTGGCTTGCCGACTTAACCCTTTCCTGGCCACTAGGAGGCGGGAGCGGCTCTCCGGTCCACTCCATCCCAGCCCCCTCCCAACCTTGGGGGATCCTGTGCGCTGAGTTCTATCGCCTCCGCGGCGCCACGCTTCTAGAGAAATCCCTTCTTGCGGGGGAGCGCTAGTGTTAGGAAACCCCATGGACTTGTCCGGTTTTCCCCTCCCAACCTTCCCAGAGGAGATGGGCTTCTGGGTCAATCCCCGCTCCCCTCCCGCCGCATCCTTGGCGGTGCCTCTCTCTCCCACGCGAGACCCTCAAGATCCCACTTTTCCTTCCAACCCCAGACCAGAAACCCAAAGTGTGCGACTATAAGAATAATACGTGCAAGAATTTGTGTGTGCAAGATCGAGGGCATATGAACGTGCACGCGCGCTCAAGGGTGCTCGTGCAGGTGTGCCTGAGTGCTGGCACGCGACCTTTTATACCTGGGAGGATGGGGGCACTTGAGTGTGAGCACTGGTGAGCCGCTGAGTACCCGCTAGTGTGCGTGTCCGAGCGGGTGGGAAACTGAGTGAAGCTGAGTGAGATTTTGCGMGAGCAAGCTTGGGTGGGCAGCGAGGGCATAGGTTGCACGGGTGTGTTGTACGCCCCTTAAAGCATTTAGGAGAGGATACAAGTTTGGGCGCGCGTGAGAATTTGTGCGTGTTTATACGTATATGTGATGTGTCCAAGAGGGGATATATCATTCCACACGAGAGGACTAGAGAGGACAAAAGGTGGGGAGGAAATTGCTGGGMATTTCTACTTTCTTTGATAGAGGGTTGGATTCTGGTCTCGCTGGGATCTCTCGCTCCCCTAGCGACCTCTTTTTGTCCCATGTCAGCCATTCTGTGACCTAAGAGACTCCTTACAAAGGCTAAGATGCCATTCCCCGCTCTTCTTGGCACGGCCCAAGGTGCCCAGCATCCCGTCTTCGAGGGCCACCCCAGAGAAGGATAAAGCGTGGGACCCTTGGGGATCTCTTCGGGCCAGTCGCCAAGCCGCGCGGGCGGGGTTGAGACTGATGGAGMGGCGCGTAAGGCGGGCGCCAAGGCCATCTGCGCTCTGTCCTGCGGCAGTGCTGGACTCCTGGGCAGCAGCTACTGTGAGGAAGGCATAGGAACCCCAGGTCCGGCTGCCTCTGGCAGGCTCCACCCTTTCTGTGCCAGGGTCCAACGCATGGCATACAGTCGGTGCTTTATAAATGCTGCTCTCATTCTTCCCATTCATTCTCGGCTTCTTCCATAATCGGTCATTCTTCCCTCGTACTCATTCGATTTCTCTCATTTTCTCCCCCCACCAATCTTATTCATATTTTATGATCTCCGGCTCTGTTGTCTCCCTCCCTTCTTCCCTCCCTCTCTCCCTTTCTTACTCTCTTCCTGTCCTTTCCTCTTCTAGGCATCTGCTTCTTTCTGTCACTGTCTTCTCTGCTTCTCTAGCTGTCTCTCTGGGTCTTGCTGTCTCTTCTCCCTGCCTCTGTCTCTCCGTCTCTGCGAGTGTCTCGCTATCTCTTAATCTCTGCCTCGCCTTCCAGTTTTCATCCAGTTTCATTCTCAGGCTCCCAGTCCTCTTGCACCTCGCGCTGGAGTGCCCCCTGCTGGTTCCATCCTCTGCACTTCTTGGGCTCCCAGTGCGCTCCCCCCTCCCCCCCCCCACACTAAATTTCCTCTCCCACCCCTTTCATTTTCAGATCAGGTAGAAACAGCAAGAGGTAATCTCCGGGGCTCCTTTTCACCTTCCATCTTCAAAATTCAGGGATAGGGTCCTGCATCTTCCTGGGACCCACCCTGCAGAGGTCCCTGCGCCTGGGGTGGGGGAGGACCTGGAGGGGGTGGCGGGGAGGGAGTGTTGGGGGTAGCWGGGTGGGATTTGGCGTCCTTCCCCGGAATGAGCCGCGGCACAATCTGTCGCTGGGTTTGTTTGCCGAGCTGCCTCCGGAGCGCAGTGGGGCTGGCTCCCGGGGAGCGAAATATCACAAGATGCGGAGACAGACGCTGAGGGGCGGGTGGGCGGCGGGCTGACTCAGGTGTACTGTCATCAGCTCCTGGCCCGCGCCCCTCTGAGAGGGGTGGGAGGGGACCCCCGGCCTCCAACATAGGCGGGAACGGAGGCTGGCAGGGGAGCCCCCGTCCTGGGGTGAGCTTCAGGGAAGGGAGTGCCCCTTCTAATAGTCCTTGGCTTGAGGCCTCTCTTTCGGTCCAACTTGGGTATTCCCTAGACAGTGAACKTACCCCATTCTACAGGTGTCACGGTTTCCTATAATTGTCTGCTGACTCACCCCTCCTACCCCCAGCCCCGCCCTAGACTGCCTGCTTTTTGAGGGCAGGAAATACCTATCATGCATTGTCTTGTCCATTAGTTGCTCAATGGGCACTTCTGGATGGCTTGCTGCGTGGTGAGCTCATGACTAGTGTCAGTTTATAGGAAATGCCACAAAATATTTGGTCTCCCCTATAGACCATTCTGACCCCTAATTCCTCCCTCTATCCACGATTGCAGTCCCTACTCCTTCCAGCTTCAGTGGGAAAGGGCTCTCCCTTGAGGTTGAATACCAGAGCTCTCCAGGTGAACCTAAGCAATTTACTCCCCTTCCATAAGCCTTGGTTTCCTCAACTGAACAGAATACACTCTCTTAAGGCGCCATTCAATCTCCAGCCACTCAAGGCAYGAGAAGCTGCTTGTTAAAATGAAGCATGCAGTGGAAGCTGACGTCATTGCCATCTTGGTGGTCATTCTTTGGTGGTGAGGGCTATGGCAGTACAATCAGACACAGTGTCTGAATGAGGTATCTGAATGAGTTGGATTTCTGTCAAATGTTTTGAGATTAGCAGGAACAAGCAGATAGCAAATTATAAGCAGCGACTGTGCCCTAGGCCATGAAGGCCCATCTCTGGCTGGACACTTGGCCAGGCTCTGGGGTACCTGGTCCTCTGGCCTTGGCTGCAGAGCTGGCCTGCCCTCTGGTGGCTGTAGTTGGATCTGCAGCCWCAGTAGAAGCCAGAGATCTCTAGAAATGGGCTCATGAATGGACTTCTGCCGAGAAGGCGGAGAGACACCTTGTGTGGACAATAGTGGGCCTTGAAAAGAAGGAGGTCATGTAGAATGAGGTTATTGGTACAAACTACATAAGTCTTTATATCTTCTGAGAGTTCCCACCTATTAACCATACCACTATTCTCAGGGTGCCCATGAGACCCCTCTTCCCTCTGGTGACCCCATCTAGTGAGCTGCAGTAACTCCCTGGCTCTCTCCTTCTCCTGTTTGGTACCTGCACTTTGTAGGGCACGTGGTAGTTAGTGAACAAGGTAGGGCAAGAGCACAGGCTTTGTTGTGTGTGTCCCAGCTTTGCAGCTTACTAGCTAGCTAGATGACCCTGGGCGAGTTGCTTAACTGTCTTAAGTCTCCAGTTTTCTCATCTAGAACATGGGAGGGGTGCAACACCAGTTCCCAGCTCATGAGGTTGTTTGAGGACTAAATGATATAAAACATCAAAGAACCTAGCCTGACCTTGTGCTTGATAAATGCTAACAATGTCATTACTTCTGCCTTGGGCCAACAACAACCTAGAAAAATGATGTTAAAGTCCAGGAGCGAGTGGCAGAGCTGGATTTGGGAGTCAGCTTTTAGTTATGACATCCCTTTTATGGCTGACCTTGAAATCGCCACCCTTTCCTGGCACGGGCGCCAGGGCTTCCCAGTGTGACATCAGGAATTCTGGGTTGAATTAGAAGTGCTAGCCTGGACTCTGACTCCAAAGGACTGTGTCACCGGGGTCAGCCTTTCTGGGCTTCAGGTCCCTCCCCACTGAAAGAGCAGCTTGGACTTGGTGCTTTTGAGAGATCTAGGAAAAGCCATTCTCATTTGTTTTGTGGCTTCTTAGCTGGGAACTACTGAAAACGGAGGTTGTCAGCTAGATCCCATGTTGCCCTCAACTTTCTAGTTCCAAGGCAGTGATGTGGGCCCCAGGGGCAGATCAGAATTTTTAAGACTCCCTTAGGCCCCACTCTGGGCTCCTTTGCATGCTCACTGGCCATTAGGCCTGCCCCTGAGCTGGTCACTGACCACATACACTATATACTCTGGAGAGTAGAGGGCCTGTGCCTGTGACTCAGAACCCTCCCTGTGCCCTGCTCGGCCCAGTCTGTTGGGGGACAGGGTTCTTTTCCTGTGTAGGAAACGAAGAAGAAAGCCTAAAGCAGATGAGTTTAAAGGGCAAGATTGTCAGAATGTGTTTTTCTCCTTTCCTGCCTAGATTCTGGGGTCTCTGTCCATTTACATAATGGTAAGAACTTACTTCAGTGGCTCAGGTGGCTGAGGCAGGAGGATTGCAAATTCAAAGCTAACCTCAGCAATTTAGCGAGGCAGGGTCTTACTGAGTTGCTTAGTGCCTTGCTGTTGCTGAGGCTGCTCTGAACTCGAGATCCTCCTGCCTCAGTCTCCCAAGCCATTGGGATTACAGGTATGTGCCACTGTGATGGGCTAATTACCTCTTTTTTTTTTTTTTTTTACAGATAGGGAAACAAGCTCAGATATGCAGTACTGCTCTTAAACCTAAGCGAGAGGGGTCTTGCCTTGAGCCCCATGTTCTTAGGGCTCTGCTCTGGCCTCCCTCCAGCCAGTGTCCCTCCAAGGGAAGAAAAGTTCCTAAGAACTTTCATTTGCACTCTAGCCCCAGCCCTGCAAATATGAGGGGCAGCCATTCTAAGAGGTCACATAACTTCATCAAGAGTGACATGGCTAAGAATCCAAGAGCCTGGCTCTGAATCCAGGTCCAGTGACTCTTTCCTCTGTTAGGAAGCCCCATGCCCGTTTTGACCACAGGTCAGAATTCTGGCTTCCTGGGGGTCGACTGGTTAGACACTTGGGTCCCATTGTTTCTGCTGGAGTTCCCTCTTGGATGAAGACAGCTTCTCCTTCTCAC